AAAAGGGAAAGAAGAATGAAAGAAGGGATGGAGGAGAGGAAGGAAGGAAGGAGGGCAGAAAAAAGAGCGTGAAGGAGAGAGGGAGGCGCCTAGAAAGGAAGGAAGGAAGGGGAAAGGGAACGGAAAGGAAAGGAAAGGAAAGAAGGAAAAAGAGGGGAGAAAGGAGGGAAGGAGAAAACAAAGAAAGAAAAGTAGGTAGGAAACAGGGAAGAAAGGAAAAGAAATGGAGAAATAAAGGTATAGAGAGACCCATATAATGCACTTCAATGCATTTCAACTGCATTATATGAGTGTACACAGAACATACAATACAGTTTCAAACGTGGGGTCAAAGCCCACTTTCATTTGCTATGTGAATCAATGAGCAGATTCAAGAAGACATGCCCCAAGCACATATATGAAACAATGCACTTGGCTCTGTAGACCAGATGAAATGCTATATATTATATGAATGCTTTCCAATGGTGCACATTCATTAAGAGATGCTTGTTTTGCAGCTTGTATTTTTTTGCAGATTCAGCCTCGGGTAGTGGACAATTGGTCTCAACGAAGCCACAACCTGATCGGTTACATTCACCACTTAGTTTGGCGTTTTAATAGTCTTCCTCTTGGGTTTTCCACCCTCCAGGGGTCATGTGCAAATTGGGGCCATAAGATATGAAATCAAACCCATTGCGAACTCTCCCACATTTCAACACCTGATTTACCGAAAGAGGCCTGAGCTGCGCCAGCCCTGCAGAGGAGGCACAGAAGCTGGGACCAATGCAACCAGTGAAGTTGGTGATGTGAGAATCGTGGATGGCCACAGCCCACCTCCTCCCAAGGGTAGAGTAAGTACATGGGTTTTCCAGTTCTCTTTGCTTGAAACCGAAGACTTAAGGTCTGGCCGTTAGTCCTGTTGTGTACATCAGGCTTGCACAACGTGAGGCTCGCTGCTCCCCGTCACCACCACTGATGCTTCTGCTGCTTTCCCCCACCTGCCCCTAGGAAGGAAGGGAAGTGTGGTGGATAAATACAAAATTGTATGAAAGGAGTATGAATGGGGCCTAATTCGGGTGAAGACACAATCCTAAAATATTGAGAACTGGAAAAAAAACTACATTCAGGAACTGTAATTAATAGTTGCTGATGAGAACTGTGACCTTGATTAACTGTTGACATTGCTGAACTGATTAACACTAGAGTTGAAAACAACATGTTTACATTACCAAAGACAATGCTCTTCTAAGTTAAGGAAACCAATGTTGTTGTTCATTCGTTCAGTTGTCTCCGACTCTTCGTGACCTCATGGACCAGCCCACGCCAGAGCTCCCTGTCGGCCGTCACCACCCCCAGCTCCTTCAAGGTCAAGCCAGTCACTTCAAGGATGCCATCCATCCATCTTGCCCTTGATCGACCCCTCTTCCTGTTGCCTTCCACTTTCCCCAGCATAATTGTCTTCTCTAGGCTTTGCTGTCTCCTCATGATGTGGCATTCAAAGGACTTCCACTTTCCCTCTAGTCTCCTTCCCTCCAGTGAGCAGTCGGGCTTTATTTCTTGGAGGATGGACTGGTTGGATCTTCTCGCAATCCAAGGCACTCTCAGAACTTTCCTCCAACACCACAGCTCCAAAACATCAATATCTGTTAAGAAAAAGAGTCAACATCTGCCAGGAACTGGGGAGTGAGGATGTTTGGGCTGGAAAACACCTGTCATTCATTTACAAAGACAACTGGAATAACAGCAAGAAATATTGCTATACAAGAGACCTTCTAATACTCCAAAATTGTGGCAGACTGGAGGAGTCTGGTCCACCCGCCAAGCTCTTCTCTATGGGAAGGAGAGAGTTGGGTGTATTTGAGAGAGTGGCAGATCTGCAGGGAAGCAGAAGTCTGGCCGCTTGCTTCTTTCTCAGAGGAAGGGAAATGATGCATATTGGAAGTGTTGGAAGTATTGGAAGTATTGGAAAAATTGTAGATTTGCAGGGAAGCAATTTGGCATAAGTGCAGGTGTTCTTTTCCAGGAGATGGAGGAAGAATGGAGATGGATGCATGTGAAGGGTGAATGTTTATATGTGTAGTGTGAATGCTGAGTAGATGTGGTAAAATCCGCTTTGTTTGTTAGTCAATGTAGTTATTGTTTGTTTGTGTATCCAGTGTAGTTATATAGAGTCTGTATGTCTAATATCGTTGTTTGTATAAATGTTGTTCTGATAGACCCTCTCACACTGGCCCTGTGAGAGGGTCTATCAGAACAACTTTGATACAAACGAAAATGGTCCTGTCACAGACCCATCATTTTCAGTTCATTTGGTTTCTTGGTTAAATAAATCTCTCCATTGGGTTGTTGTAGGTTTTTTCGGGCTATATGTCCATGGTCTAGAGGCATTATCTCCTAACATTTCGCCTCCATCTATGGCAAGCATCCTCAGAGGTTGTGAGGTCTGTTGGAACTATTTATTTATTTATTTATTTATTAGATGCACTTATTAGCCGCCATTCTCAGCCCTTACGGGCGACTCATGGCGGTGTACAGTACACGTAAAAAGACAGTTACAAAAGCCAATATCCACAATACACACAATACAACAATACAAACTACATAAAAATCCGCTTCGTCTCTTAGTAGAATCGTAGGCCAGTCTCCTCGTCCTTATACCATTCCAATTCTCATTACCGTAATGACATTGCTAGCACTTAATTAAATGCCCTCTCGAACAGCCAGGTCTTAAGGCTTTTTCGAAAGGACATGAGGGAGGGCGCCTGTCTAATGTGTGCCGGGAGAGTGTTCCACAGCCGGGGGGCCACCACCGAGAAGGAAAAAGGAAAAAGGGTTTATATATCTGTGGAATGACCAGGGTGAGACAAAGGACTCTTGTCTGCTGGAGCTAGGTGTGAATGTTTCAACTGACCACCTTGATTAGGATATAATGGCCTGACAGTGCCTAGAGCAAACTTTTGTTGAGAGGTGATTAGATAGCCTTGTTTGTTTCCTCTCTGTTGTTGTGCTGTTGTAATTTTAGAGTTTTTTAATACTGGTAGCCAGATTGTGTTCATTTTCATGGTTTCCTCCTTTCTGTTGAAATTGTCCACATGCTTCTTGTGGATTTCAATGGCTTCTCTGTGTAGTCTGACATGGTGGTTGTGAGGGTGGTCCAGCATTTCTGTGTTCTCAAATAATGTGCTGTGTCCAGGCTGGTTCATCAGGTGCTCTGCTATGGCTGACTTCTCTGGTTGAAGTAGTCTGCAGTGCCTTTCATGTTCCTTGATCTGTGTTTGGGCAATGCTGCTGCGTTTGGTGGTCCCTCTGTAGACTTGTCCACAGCTGCATGGTAAACGGTAGACTCCTGCAGAGGTGAGAGGATCCCTCTTGTCCTTTGCTGAACGTAGCATTTGTTGGATTTTCTTGGTGGGTTTGTAGATTGTTTGTATGTTGTGTTTCCTCATCAGCTTCCCTCTGCGGTCAGTGGTTCCCTTGATGTCTGGCAAGAACACTTTTCCTCTGGGTGGATCTTCATCTTTACTCTCGTGGCTTGTTCTTGGTCTTGCAGCTCTTCTGATGTCATGGAGGAAACCATAAAATTGAACAAAATCTGGCTCCCAGCATTAACAAACTCTAAAATTGCAACAGCACAACAACAGAGAGGAAACAAGCAAGGACATCTAATCACCTCTCAACAAAAGATTGCCCCAGGCACTGTCATAGAATCATAGAATCCTAGAATCAAAGAGTTGGAAGAGACCTCCTGGGCCATCCAGTCCAACCCCATTCTGCCAAGAAGCAGGAATATTGCATTCAAATCACCCCTGACAGATGGCCATCCAGCCTCTGTTAAAAGCTTCCAAAGAAGGAGCCTCCACCACACTCCGGGGCAGAGAGTTCCACTTCTGAATGGCTCTCACAGTCAGGAAGTTCTTCCTCATATTCAGATGGAATCTCCTGTCTTGTAGTTTGAAGCCATTGTTACATTACTCCCTCCACCCTGTGGCTTCCTCTCACATATTTATACATGGCTATCATATCTCCTCTCAGCCTTCTCTTCTTCAGGCTAAACATGCCCAGCTCCTTAAGCCGCTCCTCATAGGGCTTGTTCTCCAGACCCTTGATCATTTTAGTCGCCCTCCTCTGGACACATTCCAGCTTGTCAATATCTCTCTGTCAGGCCATTATATGCTAATCAAGGTGGTCAATTGAAACATTCACACCAAGCTCCAGCAGACAAGAGTCCTTTGTCCCATCCTGGTCATTCCACAGATATATAAACCCTTTTTCCTATTTCCAACAGACCTCACTATCTCTGAGGATGCTTGCCATAGATGCAGGCGAAACGTCAGGAGAGAATGCCTCTAGAACATGGCCATATAACCCGAAAAAACCTACAACAACCCAGTGATTCCAGCCCTGAAAGCCTTCGACAAATCTCTCCATTCTTTCACTGTTTCTTTTACATTTACTTTTATTATTTGCAGCCAGGCCTGCTTTTTAGAGTTGATGGACTAGCGTAGATTCGGTTTTTCAATACTGGAAAATATTATTTTATGATCACTTTTTGAAATGCCTTGTTCCAGAAAACCTTATTTTATTTCTGTTTCATTCCAGGCAGACAAGTTTAAAGATGCCGCGTCGGCCAGATATCTGGAGTATTATCTTGTTGTGGACAAAAGCACGGTAATGGGCATCAATAATCAAACTTCTAGCTTCTTTTCAGCCAGAAGCACCGTATAATATACCGGGAGATGGAAATCTGGTCTTTTAGATTGGGATGTAAATAATTCTGCTTGACAACCTAGACTGAACAACCAGACTGTTTTATGGGGTGGAAACCTGCCTGGCTGTTCTCAGTTGCAGTTAATAGGATTTGACAGGTGCATCATTTTCAGTAGGAGGCCATCCGCAATGCAGAATTAATGCAGGTTGACACCTGCATTATTAATACGAGTTGAAGAAAGTTTAGGACAACTGTTCATATGTACAACAGCCCATGTTTTTCATTTGTTTAATAATTTTACTAAGTAAATTTTCAGTGTATTATAGAATCATAGAATCATAGAATCAAAGAGTTGGAAGAGACCTCATGGGCCATCCAGTCCAACCCCATTCTGCCAAGAAGCAGGAATATTGCATTCAAATCACCCCTGACAAATGGCCATCCAGTCTCTGCTTAAAAGCTTCCAAAGAAGGAGCCTCCACCACACTCCGGGGCAGAGAGTTCCACTGCTGAACGGCTCTCACAGTCAGGAAGTTCTTCCTCATGTTCAGATGGAATCTCCTCTCTTGTAGTTTGAAGCCATTGTTCCATTGCGTCCTAGTCTCCAAGGAAGGAGAAAACAAGCTTGCTCCCTCCTCCCTGTGGCTTCCTCTCACATATTTATACATGGCTCTCATCATATCTCCTCTCTGCCTTCTCTTCTTCAGGCTAAACATGCCGAGTTCCCTAAGCCGCTCCTCATAGGGCTTGTTCTCCAGACCTTTTATCATTTGAGTCACCCTCCTCTGGACACATTCCAGCTTGTCAATATCTCTCTTGAATTGTGGTGCCCAGAATTGGACACAATATTCCAGGTGTGGTCTAACCAAAGCAGAATAGAGGGGTAGCATTACTTCCTTAGATCTAGACACTACACTCCTCTTGATGCAGGCCAAAATCCCATTGGCTTTTTTTGCCGCCACATCACATTGTTGGCTCATGTTTAACTTGTTGTCCACGAGGACTCCAAGATCTTTTTCACACGTACTGCTCTCGAGCCAGGCGTCACCCATTCTGTATCTTTGCATTTCATTTTTTCTGCCAAAGTGGAGTATCTTGCATTTGTCACTGTTGAACTTCATCTTGTTAGTTTTGGCCCATAATCTCTCTAATTTGTCAAGATCGTTTTGAATCCTGCTCCTGTCCTCTGGAGTCTTGGTTATCCCTCCCACTTTGGTGTCGTCTGCAAACTTGATGATCATGCCTTCTAGCCCTTCATCTAAGTCATTAATAAAGATGTTGAACAGGACCGGGCCCAGGACGGAACCCGGCGGCACTCCACTTGTCACTTCTTTCCAAGATGAAGAGGAAGCATTAGTGAGCACCCTCTGGGTTCGTCCATTAACCAATTACAGATCCACCTCACCGTAGTTTTGCCTAGCCCACATTGGACTAGTTTCCTTGCCAGAAGGTCATGGGGGACCTTGTCGAAGGCCTTCCTGAAATCCAGGTACGCTCCATCCACGGCATTCCCCGCATCTACCCAGCTTGTAGCTCTATCGAAGAAAGAGATCAGATTAGTCTGGCATGACTTGTTTTTGATAAATCCATGTTGACTATTAGCGATGACTGCATTTGTTTCTAAGTGTTTGCAGACCGCTTCCTTAACAATCTTTTCCAGAATCTTGCCTGGTATCGACGTGAGGCTGACCGGACGGTAGTTGTTTGGGTCATCCTTTTTTCCCTTCTTGAAGATTGTCGAAGGCTTTCATGGCTGGAATCACTAGGTTCTTGTAGGTTTTTTCGGGCTATAGGGCCATGTTCCAGAGGCATTTTTCCTGACGTTTTGCCTGCATCTATGGCAAGCATCCTCAGAGGTAGTGAGGTCTGTTGGAATTACGACAGGTGGGTTTATATATCTGTGGAATGGCTGGGGTGGGGCAAAGAGCTCTTCTCTGCTGGAGCTAGGTGTGAATGTTTCAACTGACCACCTTCATTAATATTTGAAGGCCTGGCTGAGCCTGGGAAAATCTCTTGTTGAGAGGTGTTAAGAGGAGACCATGAAAATGAACAAAATCTGGCTACCAGTATTAAAAAAACTCTAAAATTACAACAGCAAAACAGCAGGCACATCTTAACACCTCTCAACAGAACATTTTCCCAGGCTCAGGCAGGCCTTCAAATGCTAATGAAGGTGGTCAGCTGAAACATTCACACCTAGCTTCAGCAGAGAAGAGATCTTTGCCCCACCCCAGTCATTCCACAGATATATAAACCCATTTTCCTATTTCCAACAGACCTCACTACCTCTGAGGATGCTTGCCATAGATGCAGGCGAAACGTCAGGAGAAATGCTTCTAGAACATGGCCCTATAGCCCGAAAAAACCTACAAGAACCTAAATTTTCAGTGTCAAGTAGTTTCTGTGCATGCCTGTAATAATTGATCTAGTCAGCAAATTAAGTACTATACATACCAGTGTGATCAAGCTTCTGCCCATCTAGCAGATTGAAAACAGCAAAGTGAGTAGGTAAATAGGTACTGCTCTAAGCGGGGAGGTAATAAAAGGCAACCATAAGGACATACCGGCGACTCAATCAGGAGGACATCTACGAACAACAAGAATTCAATGACTGCACGTTGCTTAAGTCGCATTGACCTACCATCTGCACAGGTTTCCATACTTTGCACTTTAACAACACAACCATTCAATGCTAAGGCTTCCTGCCAAAATGGAACTGTAGAGGAGAGTCTACTGAACAAGCCAGTACCTGCCACATACATTGCTTAAGTCGCATTGACCGACCATCTGCACAGGGTTCCATACCTCGCACTTTAACAACACAACCGTTCAATGCTAAGGCTTCCTGCCAAAATGAAACTGTAGAGGAGAGTCTACTGAACAAGCCAGCACCTGTCACATATGTTGCTTAAGTTGCATTGACCGACTGTATGCGCAGGGTTCCATCCTTCGCATTTTAACAACACAACTGTTCAATGCTAAGACTTCCAACCAAAATGGAACTGTAGAGGAGAGTCTACTGAACAAGCCAGTACCTGCCACATACATTGCTTAAGTCGCATTGACCAACCATCTGCACAGGGTTCCATACTTCGCACTTTAACAACACAACCATTCAACGCTAAGGCTTCCTGCCAAAATGGAACTGTAGAGGAGAGTCTACTGAACAAGCCAGTACCTGCCACATACATTGCTTAAGTCGCATTGACCGACCGTCTGCACAGGGTTCCATACTTCGCATTTTAACAACACAACCATTCAGTACTAAGGCTTCCTGCCAAAATGGAACTGTAGAAGAGAGTCTACTGAACAAGCCAGTACCTGCCGTTCAGCAGTGGAACTCTCTGCCCCGGAGTGTGGTGGAGGCTCCTTCTTTGGAAGCTTTTAAACAGAGGCTGGATGGCCATCTGTCAGGGGTGATTTGAATGCAATATCCCTGCTTCTTGGCAGAATGGGGTTGGACTGGATGGCCCAGGAGGTCCCTTCCAACTCTTTGATTCTGTGATTCTATGATTCTATGAGTGGCTTGTAGGTCTTCTTTAACTGCATAATGGCATTGAATGTTTCCCGTAAATGAGTCCCCTCGAGGAGATAGGGCAGAATGTAATATAAAGCAGGGTGCATTTTATAATAAAGAATCAATAATTCACTCATGCTTTAAGTATTGTGGGCTAAATTGATAAATGTCTCTTTCTCCTCCTTCTAGTTTGCGGCCCATAAACACAACGAGACCCAGTTGGTGCTGATCATTCTCCATATGATGGCGGACGTCCATGCCGTGAGTGTATCTTATAAGAGAATCCAGGGCAGCCTGCTCTGAATGTGCGCCCGATTTAGTTCATGGCTCCTTTCCTCTTTTCCAGATCTATTTGCCCATAGGCCTCCATGTTTATCTGGTGGGGTTGGAGCTGTGGACCGAGAATGACCGGGTCGCAGTCAGTGGCAAAAGCCTCGCCATCACTTTGGACGCGTTTTACAAATTTGCCAGCAACGAGCTCCAGCGCCATGTGCATTTTGACCATGCTGGCATCCTTACGTAAGGCGTCAGGGTTTCCTTTATTTTTTTCTGTTGCTAATGTATTTCCTCTTTTAATGACTGGAAAGAATAAATGCAGTTTGGCACCACTTTCATTTCCATTTCAGTCCTACGTAGTGCACATCATGCTACACATATCAATGCAATTTGCTGGCCAACTTGCTTCTTATCATCCAATTAACCGACTTCAGACAGTTGTTTCTGCTTCAACGAGCGGCTCTTATCTTTATTTACATTTCATTCATTGCAGTAACACTTACTCTTTAGCATGATCAGATGCAAGGGAGAGGAGCCAAGGAAAAGAAGAAATGGCATCTGCTATATTTATACCTCACTGTTGTTTGTTTGTTTGTTTGTTTGTTTGTTCATTTACAGCACTTGTTCCCTCAATCCGTGTCCCTCTTGGTTGGTGAAATTCAGTCTCAAAGACCTGTCAGTTTTGGGTGATTAATCGAACCACAACAATGGCAGTTAAAATTAATTCTGCAGCGTAGAGGTGCTCCTGCTTGGAGGGATTACGTGACCCTCTGTTGAAGATCATAAACAGCTCCCTTGAGCAAGGAGTTTTTCCAGAGGGTTTAAAAGAGGCGGTGGTCTCTCTCTCCCCTGCTGAAGAAACCAGACTTAGATTTAATGTATTGTCGAAGGCTCTCATGGCTGGAATCACTAGGTTCTTGTAGGTTTTTTCGGGCTATATGGCCATGTTCTAGAGGCATTTCTAGAGGCATTTCTCCATCTGAACATTAGGAAGAACTTCCTGACTGTGAGAGCCGTTCAGCAGTGGAACTCTCTGCCCCGGAGTGTGGTGGAGGCTCCTTCTTTGGAAGCTTTTAAACAGAGGCTGGATGGCCATCTGTCAGGGGTGATTTGAATGCAATATTCCTGCTTCTTGGCAGAATGGGGTTGGACTGGATGGCCCAGGAGGTCTCTTCCAACTCTGTGATTCTATGATTCTATCCAGACGTTTCGCCTGCATCTATGGCAAGCATCCTCAGAGGTAGTGAGGTCTGTTGGAAATAGGAAAATGGGTTTATATATCTGTGGAATGACTGGGGTGGGGCAAAGAGCTCTCTGCTGAAGCTAGGTGTGAATGTTTCAGCTGACCACCTTCATACAGCAAAACAGCAGAGAGGAAACAACCAGGCACATCTTAACACCTCTCAACAGAACATTTTCCCAGGCTCAGCCAGGCCTTCAAATGCTAATGAAGGTGGTCAGTTGAAACATTCACACCTAGCTCCAGCAGAGAAGAGCTCTTTGCCCCACCCCAGTCATTCCACAGATATATAAACCCATTTTCCTATTTCCAACAGACCTCACTACCTCTGAGGATGCTTGCCATAGATGCAGGAGAAACGTCAGGAGAAATGCCTCTAGAACATGGCCCTATAGCCCGAAAAAACCTACAAGAACCTACAGACTTAGATTGTTCATTTCCCTCCAGCTACCACCCAGTTTCGAATCTCTCGTCCCTGGGCAAGGTGATGGAGAGGGCAGCAGCGGAGCAGTTGCAGCAATTCCTAGACGACACAGCCGGACGAGATCCCTTCCAGTCCGGCTTCCGTGCGGGGCATGGGACAGAGACTGTGCTGGTCTCCATCACGGATCACCTTCGATGCCTGCTTGACCAGAGCAGTTGGCGCTGCTTGTGTTATTGGATCTCACAGCAGCACTGGACACAGTCGACCACCATCTTTTGACCCACCGCCTTGCTGTGTCTGGAGTCAGGGGGAGAGCTTTGAACTGGCTATCCTCCTTTCTTCACAACCGTGGACAGCGAGTGGAGAGGGGAGGCCTGGTCTCTGAGAGGTCCCCCCTCTCTCTCTTGTGGGGTTCCTCCTCAGGGGGCCATTCTCTCCCCTCTCTTGTTTAACATCTCTATGCGACCACTTGCTCAGCTGGTTCGAGGTTTTGGGCTGGAGTGTTACCAGTACGCCGATAACACTCAGCAAGTGCTGAAGATGGAAGGCCGACCAGACTCTGTACCCGATTCCTTCCATCCGTGCCTCGAGGCCGTGATTGGATGGCTGCGTGCCAGCAGATTGAGGGTGAATCCAGCAAAGACGGAGATCCTATGGCTGGGTCAACCAGGCAGTGGGGACATCCCGCTGCCTACCCTGGATGGCGAGGAGGCACTACGCCCGTCCTCATTGGTCAAGAGTCTGGGAGTCCCTTTGGACCCTCTGCGGACGATGGAGGCCCAGGTCTCTCTCCGCCGTGAGCAGAACCGCCTTCTTTCTTTCACCTGCGGCAGGCTAGACGGCTGGCCCCCTCCCTGTCCAGGGACGACCTAGCTAGGGTGATCCAGGCCACGGTCATCTCAAGACTGGACTACTGTAATGCCCTCTACATTGGCCTTCCTCTGTTGGTGATCCGGAAGCTCAAGTTGGTACAAAATGCAGCTGCTCGGCTTCTTGGGGGAATTCCGATGAGATGCCACATAACACCAATCTGACAGCAGCTGCACTGGTTTCCAATTGAGCCCCGGATCACTTTCACAGTGATGGTACTCACCTTGAAGGCCTTGCATGGTCTGGGGCCGATGTACCTGAGGGACCGCCTCACCCCCTACCAACCCCAGAGATCCCTCCGTTCTGAGGACCAAGATGTGTTGGAAATTCCCAGTGTCAAGACCTTGCGTCTAACAGCAACCAGACGCAGAGCCTTCACAGCAGTGGCACCATCACTCTGGAATACTCTGCCACCTGAAGTCCGTGCCTTGCGGGACCTATCAGCTTTCTGCAGGGCATGGAAGACATCTCTGTTTCAACAGGCCTTTGATCTCTGATATTATTGTTTTTAAATTGTTTTTAAATTGCTTTAAGTAACAACAAAGATGTGCCAAACTTATTTTCATACCCTTTTTATTTTGGTGGGTGGTTGGTTGGTTGGTTGGATGGATTGCCCTGAAATCTAACCTGTAGTATCTTCTGCTTATCCTTGCAGGGCTAAAGGGCATCCATCTGGACTAGCACGGGGAGACAGTATTTGCCACTACAACCACGCTTCTGTGTCCGCAATGCGTGTAGGTGATTATCACTCGTCTTACGCCTTTCTCATAATGTTAGGAACTCCCTGTTTCTTTTGGAGAGTTGTTGGGAGGAGGATGTTGCTATATAACTGGCATGGGCCAACTTGGGTCTTCCCTCCAGGTGTTTTGGAATCCAACTCCCACAATTCCTAACAGCTGGTAGGCTGTTAGGAATTGTGGGAGTTGGAGTCCAAAACACCTGGAGGGAAGACCCAAGTTGGCCCATGCCTGCTACGAGAGTTGAATGAAAAGTAATGCCTCCACCTTCGTAACTCCTCAACAGATGGTAGTACTGGTATGTAGCAGGTACTGGCTTGTTCAGTAGACTCTCCTCTACAGTTCCATTTTGGTGGGAAGCCTTAGCATTGAACGGTTGTGTTGTTAAAGTGCAAAGTAATGCCTCCACCTTTGTAACTCCTCAACAGGTGGCATTACTGGTATGCGGCAGGTACTGGCTTGTTCAGTAGACTCTCCCCTACAGTTCCATTTTGGCAGAAAGCCTTAGCATTGAATGGTTGTGTTGTTAAAGTGCAAAGTATGGAACCCTGCACAGATGGTCGGTCAATGAGACTTAAGCAATGTGCAGTCATTGAATTCTTGACAGCAGAAGGTGTCACCTCAACATATTTAAACTTACTCGCCCAACAACGCACAATATTCACATCAACACAGTCACCATAGACAGCTTGCATTCTCTGATGAATCTCCTTTGGGGTGACACCTTCTGCTGTCCAGACAGTCGGTCAATGTGAATTAAGCAATGTGCAGTCATTGAATTCTTGACAGCAGAAGGTGTCACCCCAAAGGAGATTAATCAGAGAATGCAAGTTGTATATGGTGATTGTGTTGATGTGAGTACTGTGCATTGTTGGCCAAATAAGTTTAAAGATGTTGAGTTGACATGTTCTGCTGTCAAGAATCCAATGACTGCACGTTGCTTAAGTCGCATTGACCTACTGTCTGCACAGGGTTCCATACTTCGCACTTTAACAACACAACCGTTCAATGCTAAGGCTTCCCGGCAAAATGGAACTGTAGAGGAGAGTCTATTGAACAGGCCAGTACCTGACACATACGTTGCTTAAGTTGCATTAACCGATCGTCTGTGCAGAGTTCTATACTTTGCACTTTAACAACACAACCGTTCAGTGCAAAGGCTTCTCACCAAAATGGAACTGTAGAGGAGAATCTACTGAATATGTACCTGACACATACGTTGCTTAAGTTGCATTAACTGACCGTCTGTGCAGAATTCTATACTTTGCACTTTAACAACACAACCGTTCAATGCTAAGGCTTCCCGGCAAAATGGAACTGTAGAGGAGAGTCTACTGAACCAGACAGTACCTGCCACATACGTTGCTTAAGTTGCATTAACCGACCGTCTGTGCAGAGTTCTATACTTTGCACTTTGACAACATAACCGTTCAATGCTAAGGCTTCCCGGCAAAATGGAACTGTAGAGGAGAGTCTACTGAACAAATATCTGACACACGTGTTGCTTAAGTTGCATTAACCGACCGTATGTGCAGAGTTCTATACTTTGCACTTTGACAGCATAACCATTCAATGCTAAGACTTCCCGGCAAAATGGAACTGTAGAGGAGAGTCTACTGAACAAATATCTGACACATGTGTTGCTTAAGTTGCATTAACCGACCGTATGTGCAGAGTTCTATACTTTGCACTTTGACAACATAACCATTCAATGCTAAGACTTCCCGGCAAAATGGAACTGTAGAGAAGAGTCTACTGAACAAGCCAATACCTAACACATACGTTGCTTAAGTTGCATTATCCGACCGTCTGAGCAGAGTTCTATACTTTGCACTTTAACAACATAACCGTTCAATGCACAGGCTGAAATCCAACACCTAAAGACATCAGAAATATATGTTTTCTGATACTCTTTGCTGTCCCCTCTGAAACTCCCACCTGACCCCCCCCCCCCCCCCCCCCCCCCAGGTGTCCTGACACTGAAATATGGGGTCATCCTTTTCTGAAATCTATGTGATCAGCAGAGTATGTGTCCAGGGCTTGCTTGTTGTTTAGGATGATGTTCTCAGGGTCTGACACTTTATGTGGACTTTTGTTTTTTGGTCCTGGGACACTAATATTGGAAATGCAGCATTTCTAGAATGGCACAATACAGCAAAACAATATAGGCCGTGGATGAGATGTCAGCTCTTGTCAAGATGGAGTTGGTCAAGCTCACTAAAACAGATCAGCAAACCGCTGAATGTTTCATTCTTATTTGACACTAACAATGTGTCTGCAGTATTTGTGCAAAACTACCATCTCATTCAGAGGACTTTTCACCCAGCGGCATTGATTTTACAGCACGTACCAGTCAGAGGAGATGAAAAGAGAAATGTATTGGGTGTGTAGTCGTAAGCAAAAAAAATATTGATTTCCTGCGACCGACGAGGCAAGATGCATAATGCATTGCGCCTCAGAGATTCTACATTTGTGAAGTACTCAAAAGGAAGGGAGGGAGGGAGGGAGGGTTCAGATATACACACATACTGCTGAAAATGCATAGAAAGTATGAAGTATCTGTAGGAGATGTGTTCTGTGGATATGCAAAATGCTTGATAATAACGAGCATCGTTGAAATGAAGGATTTCTGATCCAAGAATACCAACAAGTTATATCTTGTCCATTTTAGTTGTTGCTTATTTGGTCAGTCGCTTCCGCCTCTTGGTGTCCTCCTGGACCATCCCAGGCCAGAGCTCCCTGTCAGCCGTGGCCACCCCCAGCTCCTTCAAGGTCAAGCCAGTCCCTTCAAGGATGACATCTACCTACCTTGCCCTTGGTCGGCCCCTCTTCCTTTTCCCTTCCATTTTCCCCAGCATCATTCTCTTCTCCAAGCTTTCCTGTCTTCTCATGATGTGGCCAAAGGACTTCATCTTGGCCTCTAATATCCTGTTGTATGTCAGCCTGTTCAGTCTGTGATTGTGTCTGATGTTCATGATGGGAATGGAGATGATGTTCCTGATGGTGGACCTAGGTCTGTTGGCATTGGGGATGAGGGTTTGCCTGGACCTGAGTTAAGCTTAGATGAGAGGCCCGAGCTGTCTGTGGAAGATTCACAAGGCCACATTCCTGGGAGAGGCCCTTTTCAGTATTTTTCAGAGCAACTGTCTGAAGTGGGTTGTTGTAGGTTTTTTCGGGCTATATGGCCATGATCTAGAGGCATTCTCTCCTGACATTTCACCTGCATCTATGGCAAGCATCCTCAGAGGTAGTGAGGTCTGTTGGAAATAGGAAAAAGGGTTTATACATCTGTGGAATGACCAGGGTGGGACAAAGGACTGTCTGAAGATTATTTATCAGGAGTCAAGTTAATGAGAGTGTAGAGCTTTTTAAACAGCAACAGAGTGCTCAGGTGCAAAGAAGTTCAGTTTGTTTACAAGGAAAGAGAGATAAGAAGCCTTTATCTGCTGGTAAGGTCAAGAAAAATGCTTTCCTTTCAGTTTTGTGATCTGGAGAAGCCTTATATTGATTCATGGAAAAGAGTTGCCTCAGTTGGGTCAACATTGGGATTTCATGATGGTATTGCTTTCAAGTGCTCTTAGTTTCATGTACCAAGTTTTTGCCAAGCTCCTGATTTGTGTATTGGATTTCTGATGGTGCCTTGTTTCATGGAATCTTGTGCCTTTTCATGATTTATATGCCTATGGACCTTGTTTTTCCTTGAAGCTCATGGACTAACCTTTGTTTTGGAACTTTACTGTTTTGTTAATTTTCCTGCCTGCTTATATTCTTCAACTGCTTGCTGATTTTACCAAGCTGGTATGGCGTTTAAGGTCAGAGGTATTCCTGTTCTGGTATACGACATATCCTTCCCTCCAGTGAGCAGTCAGACTTTCTTTCCTGGAGGATGGATTGGTTTGATCTTCTTGTGGTCCAAGGCATTTGTCTATGTCCTTGAAGTGCTTTGGCCAGGGTCATTCCAGGTGATGACCGATCAAAGTAGAAAAGAATCCATCCTAGAATTGCATTGGCCTTTTTAGCTGCTGCATCATGTTCACCGTGTGGTCTACTAAGCCACCGAGATCCTTTTCACACCGACTCTTTTCAAGCCAGGTCTCATCCATTCTGTATCTGTACATTTCTTTTCTATTGCCTGTCATATCATACATTTCTCCCTGTTGAAATTCATTGTGTTAGTTTTGGCCTAGGTCTCCTGATCTTATCTTCTGTGGTATTGGCTTTCCCTCTCAATTTGGTCCCATCTGCAGAGGTGATCAGCATGCTTTCTACTCCATTGTCAAGTCATTGATAAATACATTGAATTCCACTTGACATCATTATGGCATTCCATAAGTCATTTCTCTCTGGGATGAAATGCAGCTATTGGGAAGAACTTTTGGAGTTGACAATAGGATTTCACCCCTGTAGGAATTTCAAGATCCTCCAGTGCAATTCTACAGTCAATGTAGAATGACCATTGAGTTGTGCTGGAGAACTTAGGGATTCCTATAGGGAAAGTGGAAGGTAAAAGGAAGAGGGGCCGACCAAGGGCAAGATGGATGGATGGCATCCTTGAAGTGACTGGACTGACCTTGAAGGAGCTGGGGGTGGTGACGGCCGACAGGGAGCTCTGGCGTGGGCTGGTCCATGAGGTCACGAAGAGTCGGAGATGACTGAACAAATGAACAACAAGCGTTTCTCAACCTGGGGGTCGGGACCCCTGAGGGGTCATGAGGGGGTGTCAGAGGGGTCGCCAAAGACCATAAAAAAACACAATATTTTCTGTTGGTCATGGGCGTTCTATGTGGGAAGTTTAGCTGAATTCTATCGTTGATGGGATTCAGAATGTTCTTTCATTGTAAGTGAACTATAAATCCCAGCAACTCCCAACTCCCAAATGTCAAGGTCTATTTCCCCCAAACTCCACCAGTGTTCACATTTGGGCATATTGAGTATCCGTGCCAAGTTTGAGCCAGATCAATCATTGTTTGAGTCCACAGTGCTATCTGGATGTAGGTGAACTACAACTCCAAAACTCAAGGTCAATGCCTACCAAACCCTTCCAGTATTTTCTCTTCGTCATGGGAGTTCTGTGCACCAAGTTTCGTTCAATTCCATTGTTGGTGGGATTCACAATGCTCTTTGATTGTAGGTGAACTATAAATCCCAGTAACTACAACTATCAAACGACATAATCAATTCTCCCTCCAACCCCACCAGTATTGAAATTTGGCATATTGGGTGAGGTAAGGTAAAAGTTTTCCCCTGACATTAATCAAATCATGTCCAAGTCTGGGGGTTGGTGCTCAAGTAACAGGCCAAAGAGCTGGTGTTGTCCATAGACACCTCCAAGGCTGCATGGAGCTCCGTTATTGAGTATTTGTGCCAAATTTGGTCCAGTGAATGAAAATACATCCTGCATTTGAGATATTTTCATTATGATTCATAACAATAACACAATTGCCGTTAGGAAGTAGCAACGATAATAATTTTATGGTTGGGAGTCACCACAACATGAGGCGCTGTATTAAGGGGTCGCGGCATTAGGAAGGTTGAGAAACACTGCTATAGAGGTAAAAAGACATGATTTGCTTCTTCATTGCTGGTTTATTCCTAACCCCAGTAAAGATGGTGGGCTGACAGAATGCATTTGATGAAAATACACCTGACATTTCATATTCGCTTTCACCTCAATGCCGCCTTCCCTTTGTCTCCTGCATGCAGACATATCTCAACCTTCAAAATGATGCTGAAAACGTTGCTCACCAACTGGGCCATTCGCTGGGCTTTTTGCATGACGACGGTTCGACCAATTTAGCCCGGGGCTGTGACTGTAATTGCAGTAAGGAGGGCAGCTGCCTAATGGTGGGCAAAAAATCTCCGTGAGTACAGTTCGATGGGTTCTTTGAACTCTAGGTTGCATTTCCACCGTAGAAGGAATGTAGTTTGGCCCCACTTGAATTGCTATGGCTCAATGCTATGGAATCCTGGGAGATGTAGTTTGGTGAGGCACGAGCTCTCTTTGGCAAAGAAGGCTAAAGAACTTGTAAAATCGCAACTCCCATTATTCCATAGCAATGAGGAATGAGGAATGAGCCATCGCAGTTGAAGTGGAGGGCAACTGTATTAACCTTGCAGGGTAGATGCACCCTAAGTCATTACTACTGAGTCCTAGTTCTATCCTCCCAGGAATGTTTGGGGCTGGACTGGGGCTGAGTTCGACTGAAAACCAGCCAAGCTCTAAAAATATGCTATATACTTATAGTTATTGTTATTAGAAAATTGTTGTTGTTGTTCATTCGTTCAGTCGTCTCCGACTCTTCGTGACCTCATGGACCAGCCCACGCCAGAGCTCCCTGTCGGCCATTACCACCCCCAGCTCCCTAAAGGTCAGTCCAGTCACTTCAAGGATTAGAAAATTAGAGGATTATTAAAGAGGATTATTAAAATCATTATATTTTAAGAATGATTTCATATTAATGTTAAGTGTTCTTTATATAATTTATGTTTAACGTCTGTGATGTTATATGTAGGTTAATTGATTGTTTTATGTTTCTATTTGTGTATTGGATCTGGCATTGAATATTTACCATTTTTTCTTGTGATCCGCTCTGAGTCCCTGCATGACAATAATTTACCCTTTTCCAGTGAATGCCCAAGACTGAGCAACTGCAGCCAGGAAGTCTATGACGACATGATCCAAAAGCCAGGAAAAGAGTGTTTGCTCAATAAAGAGATAGATAGATAGATAGATAGATAGATAGATAGATAGATAGATAGGGACAACTTAGGCAGTACGCAGTGATGCCTGGGTTAGAAGTAGTACTTGTTTGTTTTGGGGTTTTATGAATGGTCCCATTGTTATCGAAATATTAACCAATAACAACAACAACACCACCACTTTATTTATATTCCTCCCTCTCTCCCTGAGGGGACTCAGAGCGGATCACAAGAAAAGATGGCAAATATATTCAATGCCAGATTCAATACACAAGCAGAAACATAAAACAACAACAACAACAACAACAACAACAACACTTTATTTATATTCCTCCCTCTCTCTCTCTCAGGGGACTCAGAGTGGATCACAAGAAAAGATGGCAAATATTCAATGCCAGATCCAATACACAAGCAGAAACATAAAACAACAACAACAACACAACAACAACACTTTGTTTATATTCCTCCCTCTCTCTCTCAGGGGACTCAGAGCGGATCACAAGAAAAGATGGCAAATATTAAATGTCAGATCCAATACACAAACAGAAACATAAAAGAACAACAACAACACAACAACAGCACTTTATTTATATTCCTCCCTCTCTCCCTGAGGGGACTCAAAGCGGATCACAAAAAAAGATGGCAAATATTCAATGCCAGATCCAATACACAAGCAGAAACATAAAACGACAACAACAACAACAACACTTTATTTATATTCCTCCCTCTCTCCCTGAGGGGACTCAGAGCAGATCACAAGAAAAGATGGCAAATATTCAATACCAGATCCAATACACAAACAGAAACATGAAACAACAACAACAACACTTTATTTGTATTCCTCCCTCTCTCCCTGAGGGGACTCAGAGCAGATCACAAGAAAAGATGGTAAATATTCAATACCAGATCCAATACACAAACAGAAACATAAAACAACAACAACAACACTTCATTTATATTCCTCCCTCTCTCCCTGAGGGGACTCAGAGCAGATCACAAGAAAAGACGGCAAATATTCAATGCCAGATCCAATACACAAACAGAAACATAAAACAACAACAACAACACTTTATTTATATTCCTCCCTCTCTCCCTGAGGGGACTCAAAGTGGATCACAAGAAAAGATGGCAAATATTCAATGCCAGATCCAATACACAAATGGAAACATAAAACAATCAATTAACCTACATATAACATCACAGACATTAAACATAAATTACATAAAGAACACTTAACATTAATATGGAATCATTCTTAAAATATAATGATTTTAATAATCCTCTTTAATAATCCTCTAATTTTCTAATAACAATAACTATAAATATATAGCATATTTTTAGAGCTTGGCTGGTTTTCAGCCGAACTCAGCCCCAGTCCAGCCCCAAACATTCCTGGGAGGATTAATCTAATCATTTACCAAGCCTAAAACAGGTTTGCAGGAAACCTCTTAGGTCAGCCCATTATCTGTTTCTTTCCCCGCCTTTCCCTTCTTCCCTGTTAAGACTCCCAAAATCTCAGAATTTAGTTTTTTTTTAGTGTAGGATGCATCTCTGGATTCTGCTCTTTGTAAAGGAGTTGTAATTCTGACAAAGCAAAATCCCAATCGGCCAGTCGGAGTTCAAACAGAGCTGATTACCTTTGGAAAATCAAATGCCAAACGAGAGAGCTTAGTGATGAATAATAATAATATGCCAGCTGCAAGCTCCAGCACACTAATTCCGTTCGGCATCAGTCTATGACTGCAAATAAGAAGAGATAATAAAAGGAGAGAAAAGTTTTCATGCCTTTCATCATCCAATGCTTTAACATTATTTATAGTTATTTATAGTTCCGTTATCTGTAATCATCTATTTATTATTGAGTTTATGCTCAGCTTGCTGCTTCCTTGGGAGGATTTCTGTCTGGGAAGGCAAGATATGAATGGCTGTAATAAATTTAAAAATATATATCCCTAAACCACTGTTCACTGTGCTGCGTGACAATAATTTACCCTTTTCCAGTGAATGCCCAAGACTGAGCAACTGCAGCCGGGAAGTATATGACGACATGATCCGAAAGCCAGGAAAAGAGTGTTTGCTCGATGAGCCCCCCAAAACGTTCAGGAACAAAGAGTGTGGAAACGAGGTCATCGAAGAAGGGGAGGACTGCGACTGCGGCCTCGAAGAGGTGGGTCTCAGTGGGGAGAATCATGGAATCCTAGAGCTGGGAGAGACCCACAAGGGACACCCAATCCCCTCCTTAATATGACAGATATGTGCTGTCACGCACTGGGCCTATAATGATTGCCTTTTGAACAGGATGTGCTCTTTGTGCCCAGCGGGAAGCCGGGTTGCCTTGGCTGAGAGGCCCTAAGGATTTTCCTATACAAAAGTCTTTAGATGCTTGAAAGGTTTAACAAAGTCCTTTATTATTGCTTAGATCTTCAACAATTTAAACAAACACTTCTCAGATCTTCAACAAGTCAAACAAATGCTTCTTAACTTGCCCAAATGGACAGGTAACTGGTTTCGTAAACTGTTTCTTTTCTTTTAAGAGGAAAACCCTTTTTAACCCCTCCCAGGCAATCTACTTTCTCTGCTTGCTGGTGTGGGCTCTACTCCCGGCTCCAATTGCTTCTGGTTCCCCGAGTAGACCTACCAGCCAAGGGTTTGTAGATTCTCCACCTGGAGTTCTTGAGGATCTTTTCCATGAAAGATGTGGAGCTGTTTCCCCGGATGCTTTTGTTTCCTCCGGATGCTGTGAGAAACGAAGCTTGTCTACAGATGGAGCTGATCCACATCCCGTAGCTAAGCTTTCTGTTGCAACCCAGATCAGGAAACAAGACCATAAGATATTAATCCACCACATTTGACTGTAGGAAAAAATAATCTTTTTTTATTGATAAAAAATGGTTACAAAATAGAAGAAAATACAAAGTCCAAAAAGCCACAGTAAAATTCAGCAGTCAGGAATATCTATGAACTAGATCAAAATTCCAAAAGCAACATTAGAAAAACCTGGAACCTGTTAGCATCTCACTAACCGTACTTGGAAACTAGAAGCCTCTGGGAATGCAGGCTATGGAAACCAGGAAATCTGCCAAGGTAATGCCTCAGTCTAAACGATGCTTGATCTAACGAGAGAGCCTGGGGAGAGACACTTAAAACTAAAGTAACTGTTTCGGGACATGCCTCCGGACTTTGAAGCCTGTGCCTCCCTTTCCTTTAATCTGCTTGACCTTCGCAGACTCTGCGATTCACTCCTGTTTTTCCAAATCTGTCCTTTGCTATCCTCATTAAAAAAGACAGATGCTAGCTCCTCTGGAGAGCTATCACCGCTTGATTCAGAAACATTCCCATCAGGATGCGTAGTTTCACTTTCCAAGCCACTGACCTCAGAATCAACAGTTTCAACAGTTTCCAAACCATCAGGGACAAATTCATGTTCAGTAGCCTGTTCAGTTGCATCAGGAAATACAATCAGAGAATCAGGTTCAGGTTCACACGCAGGCTGAACCCCAACACTTTCCACTATAAGACTGAACTAAAAATTGTTCCCTTCCCCTCCCAGAGCCCTGGAAAGAGGGGCGGAACCAAAACTTAACAGTGATAGACAGGTCATTGGCCCTATAATTGCAAACCAAGGGAAGCCACCTTACTGCAAAATGCATGGAACCTTGGAATATATGCAAACACTCAATAGAAAGAAAATGAAGCTGAAGCTCCTGGTACAGCCGTACCACCAAAAGATGTTCATATATTTCCACATGGCTCTCACATCTCCTCCCAACCTTCTCTTCTCCCAAGCTAAACATACCCACCTCCTTCAGGCTCTCCTCTGAGGGATTCATGGCTTCCAGATCTTTGACCATTTTGACGTCTCCCTTCTTGCTCATCTCCTTGAATTGCTTTGCCCAGAACTGGACACAGGGCTATTCCAGGTGATGCCTGAACCACACATAGAATCATAGAATCAAAGAGTTGGAAGAGACCTCACGGGCCATCCAGTCCAACTCCCTTCTGCCAAGAAGCAGGAATATTGCATTCAAATCACCCCTGACAGATGGCCATCCAGCCTCTGTTTCAAAGCTTCCAAAGAAGGAGCCTCCACCACACTCCCTCCAGGGCAGAGAGTTCCACTGCTGAACGGCTCTCACGGTCAGGAAGTTCTTCCTCATGTTCAGGGGGAATCTCCTCTCTTGTAGTTTGAAGCCATTGTTCCATTACGTCCTAGTCTCCAGGGAAGCAGAAAACAAGCTAGCTCCCTCCTCCCTGTGGCTTCCTCTCACATATTTATACATGGCTATCATATCCCCTCTCATCCTTCTCTTCTTCAGGCTAAACATGCCCAGCTCCTTAAGCCGCTCCTCATTGGGCTTGTTCTCCAGACCCTTGATCATTTTAGTCGCCCTCCTCTGGACACATTCCAGCTTGTCAATATCTCCCTTGAATTGTGGAGCCCAGAATTGGACACAATATTCCAGGTGTGGTCTAACCAAAGTGGAATAGAGCATGGGGAGCATGACTTCCTAGATCTAGACACTAGGCTTCTCTTGATGCAGGCCAAAATCCCATTGGCTTTTTTTGCCGCCACATCACATTGTTGGCTCATGTTTAACTTGTTGTCCACGAGGACTCCAAGATCTTTTTCCCACGTCCTGCTCTTGAGCCAGGCATCGTCCCCCATTCTGTCTCTTTGCATTTCGTTTTTCCTGCCAAAGTGGAGTCTCTCGCATTTGTCCCTGTTGAACTTCATTGAACAACCCCTCCTCCGGGGCAGAGAGTGTGGTGGAAGCTCCTTCTTTGGAAGCTTTTGAACAGGGGCTGGATGGCCATCTGTCAGGGGTGATTTGAATGCAATATTCCTGCTTCTTGGCAGAATGGGGGTGGACTGGATGGCCCAGGAGGTCTCTTCCAACTCTTTGATTCTATGATATTATTATTATTATTATTATTATTATTATTATTATTATTATTATTATTATTATCTTTTTCTAGTGAATTAGACTGCTTTGCATTTGGGCCTCAGTTTGCAGTCTTGGAAGCAAGCTGAGGATGAAAGAGGAAGGGAATGGACTGAAAGGAGGACATTTTGAAAGTGGGGTATCAGGGGATTAGGGAGGATGGCCCCCCGAATGGCAGGCTCAGCTCATATGGAGGTGGTGGTGCAACCCCAGACCTATGTTTGCATGCCAGAGGCAGATGTGTATCATCGTGCATGATTGACAGTGCCAGTCTTTCTTCTCCCTCCTTCCTCAGGACATAGGAGAAGGCATCCTGAGTCTGTTCATGAAACCCAACGCGCAACCTTTGGCCATGAGGCAACAGCATGAAGTACGTGGACCAATAGAGAGCAGGAATGACGTTCTGCACCAAGTAGACTTTGCTGCCTATCACGTGGATGATGGTGGTGGTAATCCCTCTGTTGTCAGTGTGATGGGGACGTGGTGTGGAATTGCATCTCTCGGGCACATGACCATATAATGCAGTGTTGATGGGGCCTTCAAATGCCGTGGCTCAGTGGTATTGAATGAGGAAGAACTTCCTGACTGTGAGAGCCATTCAGCAGTGGAACTCTCTGCCCCGGAGTGTGGTGGAGGCTCCTTCTTTGGAAGCTTTGAAACAGAGGCTGGATGGCCATCTGTCAGGGGTGATTTGAATGCAATATTCCTGCTTCTTGGCAGAATGGGGTTGGACTGGATGATGGCCCAGGAGGTCTCTTCCCACTCTAGGATTCTAGGATTCTATGAATCCAAAGAGTTGTAGTTTTCCAAGGCCTTCTCTGCCATTCCTGGGATTATATAGCATTGAACCATGCTGTGTATGGTCTGTGTCGACTCATATAATGCAGTTCAGTGCAGTTAAACGATGTTATATGTGTCTACACTGACTATATAGAATGATAGAATAGAATCATAGAGTTGGAAGAGAACATGTGGGCCATCTAGTCCAACCCCATGCCAAGAAACAGGAACATTGCATTCAAAGCACCCCTGACAGATGGCCATCCCGCCTCTGTGTAAAAGCCTCCAAAGAAGGAGCCTCCACCACACTCCGGGGCAGAGAGTTCCACTGCTGAACAGCTCTTCTTACAGTCAGGAAGTTCTTCTTCGTGTTCAGGTGGAATATGATTTCCTGTCATTTGAATGCATGGCTCCATTGAGCTCTAGTTTCAAGGGCAGCAGAAAACAAGCCTGCTCCCTCTTCCTCATGGCATCATTTAACATTATTTATGCAGTGGGTTGTTGTAGGTTTTTTTGGGCTATATGGCCATGTTCTAGAGGCATTCTCTCCTGACGTTTCACCTGCATCTGTGGCAAGCATCCTCAGAGGTAGTGAGGTCTGTTGGAACTGGGAAAAGAGGGTTTATATATCTGTGGAATGACCAGGGTGAGACAAAGGACCCTTGTCTGCTGGAACTAGGTGTGAATGTTTCAATGTGTCCAGAGGAGGGTGACTAAAATGATCAAGGGTCTGGAGAACAAGCCCTACGAGGAGCGGCTTAAGGAGCTGGGCATGTTTAGCCTGAAGAAGAGAAGGCTGAGAGGAGATATGATAGCCATGTATAAATATGTGAGAGGAAGCCACAGGGAGGAGGAGGGAGCAAGCTTGTTTTCTGCTTCCTTGGAGACTAGGACGCAATGGAACAATGGCTTCAAACTACAAGAGAGGAGATTCCATCTGAACATGAGGAAGAACTTCCTGACTGAGAGCCGTTCAGCAGTGGAACTCTCTGCCCCAGAGTGTGGTGGAGGCTCCTTCTTTGGAAGCTTTTAAGCAGAGGCTGGATGGCCATTTGTCAGGGGTGATTTGAATGCAATATTCCTGCTTCTTGGCAGAATGGGGTTGGACTGGATGGCCCAGGAGGTCTCTTCCAACTCTAGGATTCTATGATTCTATACCCCTGACAGATGGCCATCCCACCTCTGTGTAAAACCCTCCAAGCAAGCAGCTTCCACCAGACTCTGAGGCAGAGAGTTCCATTGTTGAACAGCTCTTCTTACAATCAGGAAGTTCAGGTGGAATATGATTTCCTGTCATTTGAATGCATGGCTCCATTGAGCTCTAGTTTCAAGGACAGCAGAAAACAAGCCTTCTCCCTCTTCTTCACAGCATCATTTAACATATTCATACATCTCCACCTTCATGGAAGTCTTGCTGGGAAGATTCTTGTCTAAGTATTTCTTGTTTCATGATTTGAATTCTTGGATTGTATGAATGCCTACTCATGCCTTGGATTAATGTTTCCTGGACTTTTTTTTATGGTTTTTGCTGAACCTTACCCTGGACTATTTTTGCTCCTGCTTATCTTCTCACCTCATTGGATTTACTTATTCCTTTAAAGTGATTTTTTACTTTGCTGTTTTTTTTTAATTATCTTCAATAAAAGGAATGTTTTCCAACCAATCTGAATCTATCTCAGCATCCCCTTCCTCATCTTTTGAGCACTCAGAATCTGACCAGGCTACAACAGGACAAAATCTTTGGTTACAAATGCTTGATTTCTTGTTAAATCTAAGGCAAGGCAATGGCACAATTAAAATCCCTGTCTGGAAAAATTCTGCAAAGTGTACAAAATAATAACCTTTGCTATGATTATTTGTAATGAGCAGGTAATAAGAGCGGTGTTTTCTTTCTTTTGACAGGAACAAGGTGAATCAAAGGCTGATGTAGCATTTAGAGGATTTAGTGTAAGTTCTGTATTGCCTCTGAATGTAATGTTAAAATGCGAAATAGGCCTGGGTAACAACGGAAAAATTTGTTTCTAAAATCGATTTGTATTTGGGGGGTTTTTTTGTTTCGATATTTAAAATAATTACAAAATTTTCCTTTTAAAAAGTTCGATATTTACGAAATTTCGTAAATGGTAAAAAATTAACGACTCGATTTCCGAAACAATAACGAATCGATTCGTTAATGGCGGACGCGACCGCGAAATACGCTAAAAAACCTCCAAAACCTTCTGAAGCTTCCCTCTCCCTCTGTTGTTGACTGTTGGTGTGATATTATAAATTTTTTTTCACTAATTAAACCATAAAACTGGCCCAGACATGCGGAAATAATAACGAAACGACCTCAAAACAATAACGAAACGAATACAATATCGAAATACGAAGCATTTACAAAACGTTTTTGAAAATTCGTTTTTTAATAATTGCTCCAGAATGGTTCGTTATCGTTTTGTAATTGAAAAAATTAACGAATTATTAACGAATTACGAATTAACGAAACGAAACCGCCCAGCCCTACGAAATACACATTGGGTTTCTCTCTTTTGGAAATCTTATTTGGAAATCCAAAATATTCCAAGAATGTCATTATTTTGCAGCCACTTCCATCTTTGGGGAAAGGGGGCTAGTTACACATCTTTTTGTTTTAGAAGTGTTATTTAAGGGACAGTATTGATCAGTATTGATCAATGCGAAATTAGTGCCATGACAATCTCTTTATTTGCAGGAATGTCGAAGGAATGGTTGCTGTCAAGACGACTGTAAAAGTAAGCCAGGCATTGACTGCCTTTTTGGACCTTGCTGCAAGAACTGCAAGGTGAGATAAAAAGCAATGATGGGCGCATCTGCATTAAAGAATTAGTACAGTTTAACACCACTTTTAAATGCCGTGACGCAATGGGAATGATGGGAGTTGATGGGAGTTGGGAATGATGGGAGTTGTAGTTTTACAAGTTCTTTAGCCTTCCATAACTAATATAGCATGACTTTATTTGGGAAATACAATATTCCCCAAAAATAAAAGGCTGTAATAGAAAACTGGCACTTTCTTCCTGGCCCAAAAAACCCTTTTTGAAAGCGCACTGACACCCACCCACTTAGAAGCGCTGATAAGCCCTTGGCTTACTTGGGGTATCTTGTGAAGGAGTGTGATGGTTTTAGCCCTCAGGGTTGTGTTTCTGAGGTACACTTTTAAAGATAGTTCTTTAAAATATACGCTGCCACCATTTAGTTCTTGTTTTCTGCTTAAAGCTGCTTTTGAACCTTTAAGCACAGAAGCACACTTGAGTCAGATGTAATGAAAAATAAACAATGAAGTTTATTTACAAGAACAGGAACAATTCAGGTACAAAGCTTGTCTGCTTTAGAGATTTGTCTTGAAAGTGTGTGGTTACATAAAGCAGTTCTGACTTAGTTACACTAGAAACACTTCTTTCTCCCTCTGTATAGTTTCTCTGACAGTAATTCTTAAAGCAGCACAGATAGTCCTAACCTGGATCTATCTTTCTACTTCCCAGCTATCTTCCTAATAGCTGTTAACTTCCTACTAGCTATCCCCGCTAGTAACTCTGACCAAACTCAGGCTTTTCTCTCTCTCTAACCCTCTAATCTCCTAACACCCTTTCCCTTTGACACCCAAGTTCAATCTCCTGACAGGGATTTAAAAACCTCTCTTTAAAGACAATTTTTCCCTCTTGCCAAGTTAGGATCCGCCCACTCTAACTTAGCCAATCACATTCCTCTCTCATTCCCCTCCAAAGCTGCTTTTACTAAACATGCCCCTTCAGGAAATGAGTGACTAAAATGGATTCCCCCGGCACCCTTTCAAAGATGGCTGCCGAACTCTTGGGCCTACTTCTTCCTAGGCTTCTCTAAACCTAACTCGTAGTGGATTCACTCCACCTTCTCTGCCAAATAGGGCTGCTGCCTCACCAAATGACAAGCATTGAGTGAGATCGAACTGCATTCATTCTGCAGTGTAGATGCACCCAAAGAACCCACATTCTTTTTTTTAAAGGAAAAGTAATTTTGCACTTTCAACCATAGAATAATAATACACTTTATTTATATTCTGCTCAATTTCCCCAACGGAACGCAGAGTGGATTACAGTATACGCATATACAGGCAAATATCCAATGCCTTTTATACAGTGAACAATGTAACACAATACACAATACACAAACAAAGATAAAGGTTTCTCTTTCCATCTCTGGCATCTGGAAGTGATGCTCAACTTTGGCCATGAGGAGGTGCTCTTGTTCCATTTCCAAGCCAAGGAACCTGTTGTCTGTAGACCTTCCTGGTTGTGTTGCCAAGCAGTACCTATTGTTATACTCACATTTTTGCATGTTTTCAAGCTGCTAGGTTGGCAAAAGCTAGGGCTAACAGCAGGAGCTCACCGCAACCTGTGCCTTTGAATTGTTGACCTTCTCATCAGCAGTTTTTCTGCAGCTAGCGGTTCAACCACTGTGCTACTGCATTCAGCAAACCAGATCTCAGCTTTGAATAAAAACTTTGGAAAAGAAAACAGTTCAGATTCAAGCAATTGCTATAAGCCCAGGTTCCTCCAGAAAAGATAGGATGGGTGGGTGCAGCAAAACCTAAAGTGTCTTATTATGAAACACTTCTTTATTCCAAGCTAAACATCCCTAGCTCCTTCAACCATTCCTCATTGGGTTTTGCTTCCAAACCTTTGATAATGTTGGTGGCTCTTCTTTGGACAGCCGGTCCATATTCTTCTTGAACTGCTTTGCCCAGAATCATAGAATTATACAGTCATAGAATTCTTGAGTTGGAAGAGACCTTGTGGGTCATCCTGTCCAACCCCCTGCCAAGAAGCAAGAAAATTGCACCCCCAACAGATGGCCATCTATAACAATGCAGCTGAGTAGTAGAGAGGATTTTAAATAATTTAATTTATGGACGGGGTAATATAGAAAAAGAAAATCCCAACACTGCTCAGCCAAAATATAATGATGACACCACCATTACAGACTACCTCACTTAAAATATAGAGGGAGTATGGTTGTTGAAATCAACTGTCTATTTAAAAGCTAGGAACTGGGAACCACTGGGACTGAGAGACTTAAAATGATTCTACAAAAGATAATAATAGTAAACAGGCTGAGGTATTATTGACAGTTTTGATCTGTGAACAGCCACGGTGCCACTAGAGTTTTCTTAGAGGCTGTTAAAAGCTGACTTCAATAAGGCTTTGACCACAAAGGTATTCACACTGAGGCTGGTGTAAGTTGATAATAATAACAAGAATGTTTATTGAACAGGCTTGATTTATTCAGGTACAAATGCTTAATGGTTTCAGTAAAATATTGGCATAAAAAACTTGTGGTTGTGTTTGAGTAAAGATCTTAAAAACTTCTGGGTTACAAGTCTTAAAAGTTTCAACACAGAAAATTACTTCAGGAAATGAATCTCTGAAAGTAACTCCCAAAGATCCCCTTTAGGAATCTAGCCAAAATCCTGAACTAGACTTCCTTAGGAAATGAACAGACCACACAGTATTCTAGCTATATTCTCGATAGCTATTCTGAATACTACACAAAAGACTGACCCAAACTACTTCTTCAAAACCCAAACTGCTCTCGCTAACCCCCCACACTTCTTCTCTCTACATTTTCCAAACTCCCACTGGCAAACTGGGACCTCAAACCTCAGTTTAAAAGACACTTTCCCCCTTTAGATCACTTAGGCTCCATCCCCATCTTTCTAACCAATCCTAGCCTTCTGATTTTCCCTCCTAGACTAGAACACACCCCCTTAAGGCAAATCTAACCTAAGATGGCTTCTCCCTGTCCCCCTTTCCTAAAACGGATGCTGTGGCTTCACCAGGCCCACTTCCTTAGGCTTTTGCCAGCTAGCTAAGGTAAAGGATTCATTACACCATCCAACCAACAACTAAGAGCTCTTCACCTGAATACAATGTTGCTCTCACCAAGGATTGTACCAGCAGGAACCACTTTAAAAGGCCTCAATCCCTCCCATGACATCATTTTGCATGCACCTGCTTTTCCTCGCCTTATCTCTAAGCCTCTGTATTTATTGCATGCTTTGTCTCCTCAGTTCCAAGCACCTTGATCTGAACACAGGGAAGGAAAGGATTTTGGCCACTTAGGTTGACTGGAGGAAAACACAAACTTTTTATCTTTATGCTGCTGGACTCACCGTATCTGTCACTGATTCCCTCTGTAGTTTTCCAAAGAGGGGACTGTGTGCCGGGAAGCCGTGACGGAGTGTGACCTCCCCGAATACTGCAACGGGACATCTGCCGAATGCCCCGTGGATGTCTACAAGCAGGACGGGATGCCTTGTAGCGACAGCAACAGCTGCTTTCTTGGCAACTGCCTCGACCTCCACAAGCATTGCGTGGCTCTCTTTGGCAAAGGCAAGACTGGCGTCTTTTGTTGCAAAGCAACATATGGTATTGTCGAAGGCTTTCATGGCCGGAATCACTGGGTTGTTGTAGGTTTTTCAGGCTGTATGGCCATGTTCTAGATCAGTAGGTACTGCTGAAGCAGGAAAGTAATGGTGCTCCATGCAGTCATGCCTACTCCATGACCTTGGAGGTGTCTACGGACAACGCCGGCTCTTCGGCTTAGAAATGGAGATGAGCACCAACCCCCGGAGTCGGACATGACTGGACTTAATGTCAGGGGAAAACCTTTACCTTTACCTTATTGACACATTTTTTCATTGATCACATACTCCTAATATATATATCGTTGTGTGCCTTGAAATCATTTACAACTTCTGGTGATCCTAAGGCAAGCCTATCACAGGGTTTTCTGGCTCTCCAACTTGCATGCTTTGCATTTATGGCAGTGTTTCTCAACCTGAGGGTCAGGACCACTGAGGGAGTCATGAGGGGGTGTCAAAGGAGTCGCCAAAGACCCTCAGAAAATACATTCTTTTCTGTTGGTCATTGGGATTCTGTGTGGGAAGGTTGGCCCAATTCTCCCATTGGTGGGGTTCAGAATGCTATTTGCTTGTAGGTAAACTATAAATCCCAGTAACTACAACTCCCAAATGTCTAGGTCTATTTTCTCCAAACTCCACTCGTGTTCACGTTTGGGCATATTGAGTATCTGTGCCAAGTTTGGTCCAAATCCATAATTGATTGAGTCCACAGTGCTCTCTGGGTGTAGGTGAACTACAACTCCCAAACTCAAGGTTAATGCCCACCAGACCTTTTTAGTATTTTCTGTTGGTCTTGGGAGTCCTTTGTGCCAAGTTTGTTTCAATTCCATTTTGGTGGAGTTCAGAATGATCTTTGATTGTAGGTGAACTATAACTCCCAGCAACTACAACTCTCAAATGACAAAATCAACCCCCACCCAACTCTACCAGTAATCAAATTTGGTCGTATCGGGTGTTTGTGCCCAATTTGGTCCAGTGAAAGAAAATACATCCTGCATATCAGGTATATACATGATGCTTGATAACAGTAGCAAAATTACAGTTACGAAGTAGCAATGAAAATAATTTTCTGTTTGGGGGTCACCACAACATGAGGAACTGTATTAAGGGGTTGCGGCATTAGGAAGGTTGAGAACCACTTGTGCTGTCGCACGCTGGGCCTGTGCATAAGACCGTAGACAGGACATAAATTCTGTGTGCCCAACGGGACGCCAGGGCTGCCTCAGATTAAAGGCCTTTGGATTTCCTTAAAACAGAGTCTTCAGATTGCTTAAAGGTTCAACAAAGTTCTTTATTAATGAAAACATTAATAGCTTTAAGGCTTTCTTAACAGTCTATTGGCTCTCTCTCAATCTTGTCCACAGGGAACAGGCACTATCTTCATAACTGTATACTAACTAATGGGGAAATCCTTAACTTCTAATCCGGGCAGTCTGTCTTCGCCTCTGTTGGCATGGAGCCCCTGCACCCGGTGCCAACTGCGTCTGGCTTCCACAAGTGACCCTTACCAAGCAGAGCTTTGTAGACTTCCAGGGGAAAAAGAGTTCAGGTTTCCGTGATGGCTGACTGAAGTCCCTCAGCGAAGGAGCCGTAAGGCTGTATAATCCGCGGCCAAGCTATGGGACCTTTCTCCCCGGCCAAGCCATAGAAGACGAAGCTTTCTACAGGAGCTCTTGGTTTTATGTCCTGTGTGAAAGGCCTCTCTGTGTGGACTGAACCCAAAATAGCTCCTATTCCCTCTAAAACCCAAAAAGGGAGCGGGACGAGGGAACCTAACTATAATTGACAAGTGGCTTGACCTATGATTGCAGCCAAAAGAAGTCACCTATCTGCAGAGTCCCTGAAACTTAGGACTACAACAAACATTCAATGCAAAGCAAACAAAATTGGAGCTCTTGGTACAGTTGTACCTGCACACCACTGCTTTATGGCATCCTACCTTCCTCCTTTCTATTTCCTCCCTTTCTTTCTCTATGCAGCTGGTAATGTAGGTCAGCCATTTGCTTTCCATGTCCCTTTATTGATTTAGTCTTACCAGCTCTTCCTTCCTTCTCCCTCCTTCCCCTTCCCTTTCCCTCTCATCAGACGCCCAAGAGGCTCCGCTGAGCTGTTTCAAGGAGGTGAACATGCGAGGAGACCAGTCTGGCAACTGTGGCGGGGATGGAGAGAAGTACAAGAAGTGTGACGAAGAGTAGGTTGGGTCTGGGGGGGAACGCGACTCTGTCCTGGGGGTCAGAAACCCCGACTTTCCTCCAGAGGATTGGGGCCAAACCTGTTTGCAAAACAGTCAAATGCTGTCCTGGGGTGTGTCCAAAGGAGGGCGACTAAAATGATCAAGGGTCTGGAGAACAAGCCCTATGAGGAGCGGTTTAAGGAGCTGGGCATGTTTAGCCTGAAGAAGAGAAGGCTGAGAGGAGATATGATAGCCATGTATAAATATGTGAGAGGAAGCCACAGGGAGGAGGAAGCAAGCTTGTTTTCTGCTTCCTTGGAGACTAGGACGCAATGGAACAATGGCTTCAAACTACAAGAGAGGAGATTCCATCTGAACATGAGAACTTCCTGACTGTGAGAGCCGTTCAACAGTGGAACTCTCTGCCCCGGAGTGTGGTGGAGGCTCCTTCTTTGGAAGCTTTGAAACAGAGGCTGGATGGCCATCTGTCAGGGGTGATTTGAATGCAATATTCCTGCTTCTTGGCAGAAGGGGGTTGGACTGGATGGCCCAGGAGGTCTCTTCCAACTCTCGGATTCTATGATTCTATGGGGTGGCTGCGCCTCAAGTGAGCCTCCCTGCTTGGCCTTGGAGGGATCAAGCCCTGTCCTATCCACCGCATACATCGAACATGCGTGCTGCTTGCTCAAACAAATGCTAGGCAACTGGGAAGTTAAGTTGCTGCCTACCCACCTGGCAATGTGGCTAAGGGGATTAATGGCTGGCATATTTATTTTATTTATTTATCGTGTCATCAGCAACCAGACATTTGTATTACATTTTTAACAAAAACAAACAAACAAAGAGACAAAACATAGAATTTGCAAGCTTGGTAGTTGGTTAAATGTCCTTTGACCAGGATCTGGCCACTTGGAGTGCCTCTGGTGTTGCCGCAAGAAGGTCCTCCCTCGTGCATGTGGCAGGGCTCAGGTTGCATTGCAGCAGGTGGTCAGTGGTTTGCTCTTCTCCCCACTCGCATGTCATGGATTCCACTTTGCGGCCCCATTTCTTGCATCTCGTGGTGCCAGAGCGCAATCTGTTCAGTGCCTTCCAAGTCGCCCAGTCTTCTGTGTGCCCAGGAGGGAGTCGCTCATTTTGTATCAGCCATGGATTGAGGTTCTGGGTTTGAGCCTGCCACTTTTGGACTCTCGCTTGCTGGGGTGTTCCAGTGAGTGTCTCTGTAGAGCTTAGAAAACTATTTCTTGATTTAAGTCGTTGACGTGCTGGCTGATACCCAAACAAGGGATGAGCTGGAGATGTCTCTGCCTTGGTCCTTTCACTATTGGCTGCTACTTCCTGGCGGATGTCAGGTGGTGCAATACCGGCTAAACAGTGTAATTCCTCCAGTGGTGTAGGGCGCAGAAACCCCGTGATAATGCGCCATGTCTCATTAAGAGCCACATCCACTGTTTTAGCATGGTGAGATGTGTTCCACACAGGGCATGCATACTCAGCAGCAGAATAGCATAGCGCAAGGGCAGATGTCTTCACTGTGTCTGGTTGTGATCCCCAGGTTGTGCCAGTCAGCTTTCGTATGATATTGTTTCTAGCGCCCACTTTTTGCTTGATGTTCAGGCAGTGCTTCTTGTAGGTCAGAGCACAGTCCAGAGTGACTCCCAGGTATTTGGGTGCGCTGCAATGCTCCAGTGGGATTCCTTCCCAGGTAATAATCCTCAGAGTTTGGGATGCTTGTCTGTTCTTAAGGTGAAAGGCACATGTCTGTGTTTTAAATGGATTAGGGATCAGCTGGTTTTCCCTGTAATAGGCCGTGAGAGCACCTAGAGCTTCGGAGAGTTTCTGTTCAACCATCTCAAAGCTCCCTGCTTGAGTGGTGATGGCACGATCATCAGCATAGATGAAGCTCTCTGTCCCTTCTGGCAGTGGCTGGTCATTTGTGTAGATGTTGAACATGGATGGAGCAAGCACGCTCCCCTGAGGCAGGCCGTTCTTCTGTTTCCGCCATCCGCTTCTCTGGCCCTGGAACTCAACAAAAAAGCTCCTGTTTTGTAGCAAATGGCTGGCAGAGGAAACAAAAGCAAGCAGGAAAGGAAGACAAAATTATAACTATAAAACTGTGACTCCTAGGTTTAAATCCATGTCTATTTGCATCGTTAAGCTATTAATAATTGGCTGTGGAACTCCCTCCCTAATGAGATCAGATCTGCCCCCTCCCTCCTGACCTTCCGGAAGAAGCTCAAATTCTGACTTGCTGGGAAAGATGATAATACTAATAATAATAATAATAATAATAATAATAATAATAATAATAATAAATATATTGCCCCCGTTGGCCATCATCAAGGTGAATGAAAGGAGGTGCAAATGCTTCTCTCTTTGCTCTTCTCTACAGAGACGTCCTTTGTGGGCGGCTGCAATGCGTTCACATTAAGAAAATCCCCAAAATGTCAACCGGGCAAAGTGTCATCCAGACGCCAGTGGAGAACACCTTGTGCTGGGGGATGGAATTCCACCTGGGCCAGGACACTCCCGACCTTGGCGCTGTGAAGGATGGGACCACCTGCGGCACTGGCAAGGTAACCAGACCTGCGACAGGTATCAGAAGCGCCCATAGAATAGAGAATAGAATACCATCGCTTTATTTGGCGTTGTGCTATTGCACAACAAAATTACATGCCCCCCTTCCACACCCACCCACCACAGAACAACACACCCATCCCTCCACACTCCCACCTCCACCGCATAGCCCCCAATGCCACATCAATGCAAAGCCATGGAGTTCAACATAGCCACAGCTCTAGGATAAAAGCTATCTCTCAGTCTGCTTGTCCTTGCCTTTGTCACCCTGCATTGTCTGCCAGGTGGCAATAATAAGAATAAGAATAAGAAGAAGAATATGCTGGGTGAGATGGATCCTTAAGAATGTTCTGAGCTTTTTAAAGGCAGCTGGGCCTATAAAGTTCTTCCAAAGAGCAAAGAAAGAAGGCAACCCTCGATTCTCTGTGCAGAAGTGGTGACCCTTCCTGTCTGCCACTGTGCAGTTACCAAACCATGCACAGATGCAGTAAGTTAGGACATTCTCTATAGCACAGCAGGAGAAAGTCGCCAGCAGTTTCCCATGCAGTGGTTGGTTCCTTAGAAGTCTGTCTATCTGTCTGTCTGTCTACTAATCCATTTATCCATTTATCCATCTATCTGTCTGTCTGTCTGTCTGTCTGTCTACTAATCCATTTATCAATCAATCAGCCTATCTATCTATCTATCTATCTATCTATCTATCTATCTATCTATCTATCAGTCTATCTGTCTACTAATCTATCTATCTACTAATCTATCTATCTATCTATCTATCTATCTATCTATCAGCCTATCAACCTATCAACCTATCTATCTATCAATCTGTCTACTAATCCATTTATCAATCAATCAGTCAATCAATCAATCAATCAATCAATCAGCCTATCTATCAATCTATCTGTCTACTAATCTATCTATCTACTTATCTATCTATCTATCTATCTATCTATCTATCTATCAGCCTATCTATCTATCAGCTTATCTATCAATCTGTCTACTAATCCATTTATCATCAGTCAATCAATCAGGCTATCTATTGGTCTATCTGTCTACTAATCTATTTATCCATCCATCCATCTATTGGCCTATCTACCTACCCACCCACCTATTTATGTGGCTTCTTATAAAACAATCCACCTGTCTGTCTATCACCCTATCTATCAATTAATCCATCCATCTATTTATTTATCTATATATCCATCCATCCACCTATCTGTCCATACATCTGTTTATCTAAATTTCTATCAATCCATCTACATAACTATGTGTTGACTTGTTTGTCTGTCTATCTGCCTGCCTGCCTGCCTGCCTATCTATCTATCTATCTATCTATCTATCTATCTATCTATCTATCTATCTATCTATCTATCCATCCATCCATCCACCGCTAAGCGGCTGAGGGGGAAATGAAAGGGGCCTGAGGCTGTTAGGAATGGTGGGAGTTGGAGTCCAAAACACCTGGAGGAAAGGCCAAAGTTTGCCTGTGCTTGGTGTAGATGCACCCTATGTCAGTCCTGCAAGAAAGGCAAACATAGGGGAGAGACCTCCAGTTTGAAGGAGACCATGCCCGCTTGCATTCAGCCTCGGGATATCATTTCTCAGATGAGCCAGTATACTGCACAAAGTTAACGCCTTGTGCCTCTTGCTCTAGATATGTATCAACCGATCCTGCGTTGATCTGGACTTTATGAAGCATAAGTGCACCTTCTCTAAATGCAACCACCGCGGGGTAAGTATGAAGTAAGTGAAGGGTGTATCCTTTGAGACCCAGTTGGGTTAGCACAGGGCTGCTTCAGCTTCTTCCACTCGTGACCAATTTCCACTTGATAAATATTTATACATATAGGTATGTAAAGTAGGTATAAAAACCAAACATGTACTGATAACAAATCAGCATTTGCAAGGCTTGCTAGACAAGCCAGTTTTTCCTTTTTTGCAGCTGAAATATCTTCTGCAGCGTCTGCTACAAACACTGAACAGATTTGGGTAAATGGCTGGCGTTCAGACATCTTTTCCCTGTTGCCAGATTTTTCATGACTCCAACATTGAGCTAAAGCAGCGTTTCTCAAACTGGGGGTTGGGACCCCTGGGGGGGTCACAAGGGGGTGTCAGAGGGGTTGCCAAAGACCATCAGAAAACAATATTTTCTGATTGTCATGGTGCTTCTGTGTGGGAAGTTTGGCCCAATTCTATCGCTGGTGGGGTTCAGAATGCTATTTGATTGTAGGTGAACTATAAATCCCAGCAACTACAACTCCCAAATGTCAACCTTTATTTTCCCCAAACTCCACCAGGTTTCACATTTGGGCATATTGAGTATTCATGCCAAGTTTGGTCCAGATCCATCATTGTTTGAGTCCACAGTGCTCTCTGGATGTAGGTGAACTACAACTCCCAAACTCAGTCAATGCCCACCAAACCCTTCCAGTATTTTCTTTTGGACGTGGAAGTTCTGTGTGCCCAGTTTGGTTCAATTCCATCATTGGTGGAGTTCAGAATGCTCTTTGGTTGTAGGTGAACTATAAATCCCAGCAACTACAACTCCCAAATGTCAACCTCTATTTTCCCCAAACTCCACCAGGGATCACACTTGGGCATATTGAGTATTCATGCCAAGTTTGGTCCAGACCCATCATTGTTTGAGTCCACAGTGCTCTACCTGGATGTAGGTGAACTACAACTCCCAAACTCAAGGTCAATGCCCACCAAATCCTTCCAGTATTTTCTGTTGGTTGTGGGAGTTCTGTGTGGCAAGTTTGGTTCAATTCCATCGTTGGAGTTCAGAATGATCTTTGATTGTAGGTGAACTATAAATCCCAGCAACTACAACTCCCAAATGTCAAGGTCTATTTTGCCCAAACTCCACTATAGGCTTTTCCCATCCTTGGCATCTTGGAGGCTTGTGCTCAGTTCTGGCCACCAGGGGTGCTGTTGCTCCACTTTCCCTGCCGAAGAGCTTTGTTTGTAAATTTCCTCCTTGATCGAATCGCTGGCCTTTCTCTGGCATTTCCTTTTGGGTGCCTTTAATACCTCCCCACTTAAGCAGTACCTGTTTATCTACTCACAAATGCTAGGTAGGCAGAAGCTAGGCTAAAGGCCAGGAGCTCACCCTGACCCAGGCTTTGAACTGTCAACCTTTCAATTGATAAGATTTACTGCAGCGGGTGGTTTAACCTGCTGTGCTAAAGTTCAGCGCAGATAATCAGCATTATCTGCTTTGAATTGATGAGTCTACACTGCCATTTAATTTAGTTCAAAACAGATAATCTGGATTTTATACAGCAGTGTAGAAGAAAGCCATTGACATTAGACACAAAAATGATGTTTCTGTGAGCTATGTGGAAGGATAAACCAATAGTCCCTGAGTTACAAACATCCAGTTTACAGGCATCTTCCATTTAAGAATGGGGCTGAGACAACCGGAAGTGAGAGAAAACTTCCACTCAGAACAAATGGAAATCCACTCTTGAAAGAGTTATTATTAGGGAGGAAAGGGCTCTCCTGTCGCAACTCAGGGTAGTTTCCACCTTGCACAAGACACCAGCACACACCAAGGCTGTAGTTTTGTAGTTTATTGAGAAAAAGCAAAACCAAAACAGAAATAAAGATGCAGAAGTTCAATGGGCAAAACAGAGTCTTAAATGCAAAGGCAAGGTTTCCAAGATCCACAGGCAAATAACATGAAGCATAATCCTTTAGCAATGGCCAGACAAGAGTCCATGGCAAACAGGTAAAATCAGGATTAGAATCCAGGATTAGAGTCTCCAAAAAGCCAGAAGCATTCCGCAAAAGCCGAGGCTATTCCACAGAAGTTAACGGGTTAGAAGTAACATTGGACTGACAAGAAATGCCTCTCAGCTACATCATTAAATAAGCCTCCCAGACATGAAAGCATTGCGTTGACCTTTGGCTTCCCTCTTGCTACCAAGGTGTGTGCATTGCCGAACCCTTAATTGCAAACGGTCCTGTCTGCTCATTAATTCACGATTATCTTCAAACTCCTTATCTCAGCCCAGCTGGGCCGGATCACTCTGGGAACCGAAAGGAGTCTCCAGCTACACTTGTGGGATTGCACTCTCTCTATCTAAAGGCACATTCATTTCCCTGGGGAACAGGCTTGCTGTTTCAGCTTCAGAAAGCACACTATCAGCCCTGTCTGGGGCATGTATAGGAATCTGCAACCCATCAGTCTCCTCGTCATCCTGCCTAAAATCATGCTCAGGCTCAGAAGACCCAGGCCCAGAAGGGCCAAACAGTTCAGTTTCAGATTCAAAAATTCAAAAATTGTTTACTGCTTCCCTGGAGACTAGGACGCAATGGAACAATGGCTTCAAACTACAAGAGAGGAGATTCCATCTGAACATGAGGAAGAACTTCCTGACTGTGAGAGCCATTCAGCAGTGGAACTCTCTGCCTCGGAGTGTGGTGGAGGCTTCTTCCTTGGAGGCTTTTAAACAGAGGTTGGATGACCATCTGTCAGGGGTGATTTGAATGCAATATTCCTGCTTCTTGGCAGAATGGCCCATGAGGACTCTTCCAACTCTTTAACTCTATGACTCTATGTACGGGAATCTGCAACCCATCAGTCTCCTCGTCATCCTGCCTGAAATCATGCTCAGGCTCAGAAGACCTAGGCCCAGAAGGGCCACACAGTTCAGTTTCAGACTCAGACTGAGCCACAATATCTCCACTGAAGCTTTATTTCCTTATTCTCATAAGGAAATTGAGAAGAGGTGGAGATGGGCAGGAAAGATGTATAAAAGGAAGTGGTGGTAGGAAAACAGCAGTAGCGTCTTTCTTTGCTGCAGAGATAAAAGCAATACAGCCATTTCAAAGCAAGCCGGCTTGTGAGTGGTTATTTTCCATTGCTATTCGGACCCTACAGACTGACACTTTGTTTTCACAACAAGCCAAATTTCCCCAAGTCTCTTATCACAGGGACAGAAAGGGAAGCACTGGCAGCAAAGGAAAGAAACCCCACAGGAGTGTTGACTCTTTTCCATGTGATCCAAAGCTAATATACTAGAGGTGGGCATGGGCAAACTTTGGACCTCCAGGTGTTTTGGACTTTTTTGGACTTTCCTCCCACCGTTTTTGGACTTTCCTCCCACCATTCCTAACAGCCACCTGGAGGGCCAATGTTTGCCTATGTCTGATATAAGGGATGCCGAGATCAAGTGGAAATTGGTGCTGTTAGTGAATTCAAAATTATCTTGACAGATTAGACAGATGGGCCGTAACTAACAAAATGAAGTTCAGCGGGGACAAATGCAAGATACTCCACTTTGGCAGGAAAAATGAAATGCAAAGATACAGAATGGGGGATGCCTGGCTCGAGAGCAGTACGTGTGAAAAAGATCTTGGAGTCCTCGTGGGGAAGAAGAACATGAGCCAACAATGTGATGTGGCGGCAAAAAAAGCCAATGGGATTTTGGCCTGCATCAAGAGGAGCATAGTGTCTAGATCTAAGGAAGTAATGCTACCCCTCTATTCTGCTTTGGTTAGACCACACCTGGAATCACACTGGATCCAATTCTGGGCACCACAATTCAAGAGAGATATTGACAAGCTGGAATGGGTCCAGAGGAGGGCAACTAAAATGATCAAGGGTCTGGAGAACAAGCCCTATGAGGAGCAGCTGAAGGAGCTGGGCATGTTAAGCCTGAAGAAGAGAAGGTTGAGAGGAGATATGATAGCCATGAGAAGAGATGGGCGGGAAAGATGTATAAAAGGAAGTGGTGGTAGGAAAACAGCAGTAGCGTCTTTCTTTGCTGCAGAGATAAAAGCAATACAGCCATTTCAAAGCAAGCCGGCTTGTGAGTGGTTATTTTCCATTGCTATTCGGACCCTACAGACTGACACTTTGTTTCCACAACAAGCCAAATATCCGCAAATTCCTTATCACAGGGACAGAAAGTGAAGCACTGGCAGCAAAGGAAACCCCACAGGAGTGTTAACTCTTTTCTATGTGATCCAAAGTTAATATATGCATGGGCAAACTTTGGCCATCCGGGTATTTTGGACTTCAACTCCTACCATTTCTAACAGCCACCTGGAAGGCCAAAGTTTGCCTATGTCTGATTCGCAGGTGGAAATTGGTGCTGTTAGTAAATTTAAGTGTAAGTGAATTGCCTAATTTATTGCATGCCAACAAATGCAATGCAAAATTTGTGGTTCCTTTTGCAGGTGTGCAACAACAACGGGAACTGCCATTGCTCTTACGGGTGGGCCCCTCCCTTCTGCCTGGGCAAAGGATACGGGGGAAGCATCGAGAGCGGACCCCCTTCCTATGAACGTGAGCATCCCCTTTGGCATTGCTTCTGATGGGCTTCCCCATTGGGCTCTGGGCATCTGGGCTCTACACATTTCCCAGATTTCAGGAATTTGTTGTTTTCATGCCAGCAAACCATGACATTCACAACAGCAGCATTCCACAATGTGCAAATTTGTACAAATTGCATTTTAAGTATTCATGCTGCTCTTCCAACTAAAACCTGAGCCAGGAAATGTCTACTTCATTCAAAGAGTGAATGAGTCCACATAGGTCAGACTCTTTTGAAAGTAGGAATCCAGGCCAGACTGGCTTCTTATAGGATGGAAGTCTATCTATCTATCTATCTATCTATCTATCTATCTATTATTCAAACTTATATGCCGCCACTCCCCTGGGGCTCGGAGAGGCTTACAAGAACAGGCTAAAATCTAACACAATTTAAAACAATTTAAAAACAGCAATATCAAACATCAAAGGCCTGTCGAAACAGGTATGTCTTCCACGCCCTGCAGAAAGCTGATAAGTCCCGCAAGGCACGGACTTCAGGTGGCAGAGTATTCCAGAGTGATGGTGCCACTGCTGTGAAGGCTCTGCGTCTGGTTGCTATTAGACGCAAGGTCTTGACACTGGGAATTTCCAAGAGATCTTGGTCCTCAGAAGGGCTCTCTGGGGTTGGGAGGGGGTGAGGCGGTCCCTCGGGTACATCGGCCCCAGACCATGCAAGGCCTTCAAGGTGAGTCCCATCCCTTTGAAAGTGATCCGGTGCTCAATGGGTAACCAATGCAGCTGCAGTCAGATTGGGGTGATGTGGCATCTCATCGGAATTCCCGCAAGAAGCCGAGCAGCTGCATTTTGTACCAACTTGAGCTTCCGGATCACCTACAGAGGAAGGCCAATGTAGAGGGCATTACAGTAGTCCAGTCTTGAGATGACCGTAGCCTGGATCACCGTAGCTAGGTCGTCCCTGGACAGGGAGGGGGCCAGCCGTCTAGCCTGCCGCAGGTGAAAGAAGGCGGTTCTGCTCACGGCGGAGACCTGGGCCTCCATCCTCAGCAGAGGGTCCAAAAGGACTCCCAGACTCTTGACCAATGATGTTGGGCGTAGCGCCTCGCCATCCAGGGTAGGCAGCTGGACATCCCCACTGCCCAGTCGACCCAGCCATAGGATCTCCGTCTTTGCTGGATTCAACCTCAACCTGCTGGCACGCAATCGGGTATGGAGTCTGGTCTGCCCTCCATCTTCAGCACCAGCTGAGTGTCATCAGCATACTGATAACACTCAAGCCCAAAACCTCGAACCAGCTGAGATGTTAAACAAGAGAGGGGAGAGAATGGCCCTCTGAGGAACCCCACAAGAGAGAGGGGACCTAAGTTCAAGACTGACTCCTGCAGATACAGGAATTGTCATGAAGCTAAAAGGAATTATAGTCCCAACAGGCCACAGTCCTGCAGAGTATCGTCTGTCAATGCAATTTGCTGGCCAACATGCTTCTTATCATCCAATTAACTCACTTCAGACAGTTGTTTCTGCTTCATCAAGCGGCTCTGCTCTATATTTACATTTCGTTCATTGCAATAACACTTCCTCATTAGCACGGTCATGATGCAAGAGAGAATTTATTTATTTATTTATTTCCAACATTTCTACCCCGCCCTCCTCAACCCCTGAGGGGGGACTCAGGGTGGCTTACAACGACAACAATTCAATGCCACAATGTATAGAGAAATATAACAAATATAACAGCAATTTAAAACAATACATAAAACATTAAGTTAAAGCAATTTAAAACATTATTATCAAACCATATCGCTATTTCCAGTCCAGGTCAACATTCAAAGTTCTGTCACGCCTGCTGTCCAAAAGCCTGGTCCCAAAACCACGATTTAAGTTTATTCCTAAAAGAAAGGAAGGATGAAGCCAACCTAATCTTGCTGGGGAGCGAGTTCCACAGGTGGTGGTGGTGGTGGGGGGCACCATCGAGAAGGCCCTGTGTCTTATCCCCGCCAAACGTGTATGCGAAGCTTGCAGGACCGAGAGCAGGGCCTCCCTGGATGATCTTAAAGTACGAGGCGGAACATAGATGGAGATACTGTTGCACTCCAGGTCCAGAAGAAACCCTCTGACTTAAAGCACACCACACAAAGAGTTAATCCAGACAGGAGTCAAGCAGGATGCAAGACAATCCAAAAGGCTAAAAAACTCCACAGAAATAAGATCCCTTGAACAAGACTTCCATGGCACAAGAACTTGGTTTCCAAACGATGCCTGATCTGACAAGATTTTCTACAGGAAAACCTTAAATCCCAAAAACTGGTTTAGTTTCTCCCCAGTCTTTGACTTTAATTGATGAATTCTTTCGGATCTAAGTAAACATTGGGCCTCATGTCGATTCTGGTTAATCTCCAGCCGCTGACTGTGCTTATCTGACTCCTCATTAACTTTAGCAGGTGCCAGACTATTTTCCAAACTAGAATCTGGAGAGCTCACAGACAGAGGGAGTAAACCTTTCTCCCAAGGCCTGACAGAAACATTCTCATGAGAATCTGCCCTTTGCACCGAAGCCTCTCTGTCAGTGTCTGCATGAAACTCATTAATTGATTAATTCTTTCGGATCTACATTGGGCCTGCAGGAAGGGCGTTCCACAGCCGAGGGGCCACCACTGAGAAAGCCCTGTCTCTCGTTCCCACCAGGCATGCTTGTGAAGTCGGCGGGATCGAGAGCAGGGCCTCCCCAGATGATCTTAATGTCCTAACTGGTTCATAGGAGGAGATGCGTTCGGACAGGGGACTGATTTCCCTCCTCATGACCCACATCAGACACAGAAACATCAGGAGACTGAAATACATTCACAGGTTCAAGTACAGGCTCAGGTTCAATCACAGGCTGAGTCCCAACAGATACGTTCAGACAAGTAAGTTGGGCTGGAACTGTATAGGGCCCAGCGTACCTGTCTGAACTTATCTCCTTCTACATCCCGCCTAAGAATTTAAGATCTTCTGGAGGGGCCCTGCTCTCCGCTCCGCCCTTGTCACAAACGAGACTGGCGGGGACGAGGGACAGGGCCTTCTTGGTGGTGGCCCCCCACCTGTGGAACTCACTCCCCAGGGAAATTAGATCATCACCATCCCTCCTCTCTTTTAGAAGGAAAGTAAAAACATGGATATGGGACCTGGCCTTTGGGTAATCTGGCAGATTGACAAGGAAAATGACGACAATGAGCTTTGGAAACGGACTATGATAAGCTGAATGGCTCACCAGTTACGGAACTGGGCGAAACAATGGCCACCAAGCTGGCTTTTTCTATGAGATTTTATTGTAATAATTTAATGTTTTAACTATTTATAATTACTGTGATATGTATTGTATTGTGTTTAAATGTAGGCATCGAATATGTGTCTGCTGGAAGCTGCCCTGAGCCCCCCCCCCCCCCCCAGGGGGTTGAGAAGTGCGGAGTAGAAATGCTCGAAATAAATAAATAAATAAATAAATAATAGGCCAAGACCTGAATTTTGAATTGTGCTCGGAAATGGATCGGCAGCCGGTGGAGCTGACACAACAGGGGGGTGGTGTGCTCCCTGTATGCTGCTCCAGTGAGTAGTCTGGCTGCTGTCCGTTGGACTAGTTGAAGTTTCCAAACAGTCTTCAAAGGCAACCCCATGTAGAGTGCATTGCAGTAGTCTATGCAAGATGTAACTAAAGCATGGACTACTGTGGCCAGGTCAGACTTCCCAAGGTATGGGCACAGCTGGTGCATGAGTTTTAATTGTGCAAAAGCTCCCCTGGCCACCACCGAAACCTGAGGTTCCAGGCTCAGCGATGAGTCCAGGATCACTCCCAAGCTGCGAACCTGCGTCTTCAGGGGGAGTGTGACCCCGTCCAACACAGGCTGTAACCTTATGCCCTGTTCAGCCTTTCGACTGACCAGGAGGACATCTGTCCTGTCTGGATTCAAGTTCAGTTTGCTAGCCTTCATCCAGTTCAACACAGCAGCCAAGTACCGATTCAAGGTCTGGACAGCATCCTTAGTAGCAGGTGGGAAGGAGTGACAGATTTGGACATCATCTGCGTACATATAACATCATACTGATTGTTTTAAGTGGAGGGTGCTTTCAGCTCCCAGGCGCAAAATCATCTCTTCTTTCCCCTTCTAGAGCCTCTAAGTCGCGTGATTGGGTTCGTCGTCCTGGGAGTCTTGGCATTTGTTGTGATAGGCCTCATTGCCACCTATAAGAGAGACCCCTTGAAAGCTTGGTAAGTCCATGCCATTGGTGTTCTTGTACAGCAAGCATAGGCCAAGTTCAACCCTCCCTCCAGGTGTTTTGGACTTCATCCCGCGAATTCGAGCTGCTAACCTTCAGGTCAGCAGTTCAGCAGTTCAAGGGTTGAACCCATTGCACCACCACGGCCCCAGGATGCCCTTCCATTGAGCTGTGGCCCCTAAAGTGGTGTCAAACGGCCTTAATCTTGGAGTGCAGATACACCCATTGCCGGCATCTCTCGTCTTACATCCCTGGGTAAGGAAAGGCAGTGGTTCGGATCTGGCATGAAAGGTTAAACCTGCTCAGAAGGTTCACTAACATCTTGGTACTTTGCATCCACAGGTTTGCAAAAGTGATCCGGAAAAATGTATTTAAGGAGCCGTACGATACAGTAAGTTGCACTAAAGCCCTTTCCCCATTAAACATCCTACTCCTATATTTTTTTTATTTTGAAACAAAATGGTTCCAAAATGGACTGAATGGCCATCTGCCGGGAAGGCTTTGGTTGTGTCTATAGACCTGGCAGAAGGGGGTTGGATTGGATGGCCATCTGTTGGGAAGGCTTTGGTTGTGTCTTTAGTCCTGGCAGAAGGGGGTTGGATTGGATGTCCATCTGTCAGAAAGGCTTTGGTTGTGTCTTTAGTCCTGGAAGAAAGGGGTCGGATTGGATGTCCATCTGTCAGAAGGGAGTTGGACTGGGTTTCCATCTGTCAGAAAGGCTTTGGTTGTGTCTTTAGTCCTGGAAGAAGGGGGTTGGACTGAATGGCCATCTGTCAGAAAAGCTTTGGTTGTGTCTATATACCTGGCAGAAGGGGATTGGACTCAATGGCCATCTGTCAGGAAGGCTTTCATTGTGTCTTTTGTCCTGGCAGAAGGGGATTGGACTGAATGGCCATCTGTCGGGAAGGCTTTGGTTGTGTCTTTAGTCTTGGCAGAAGGGGGTTGGACTGGATGTCCATCTGTCAGAAAGGCTTTGGTTGTGTCTTTAGTCCTGGAAGAAAGGGGTCGGATTGGATGTCCATCTGTCAGAAGGGAGTTGGACTGGGTTTCCATCTGTCAGAAAGGCTTTGGTTGTGTCTTTAGTCCTGGAAGAAGGGGGTCGGATTGGATGGCCATCTGTTGGGAAGGCTTTGGTTGTGTCTATAGACCTGGCAGAAGGGGGTTGGATTGGATGGCCATCTGTTGGGAAGGCTTTGGTTGTGTCTTTAGTCCTGGCAGAAGGGGGTTGGATTGGATTTCCATCTGTCAGAAAGGCTTTGGTTGTGTCTTTAGTCCTGGAAGAAAGGGGTTGGACTGAATGGCCATCTGTCAGAAGGGAGTTGGACTGGGTTTCCATCTGTCAGAAAGGCTTTGGTTGTGTCTTTAGTCCTGGAAGAAGGGGGTCGGATTGGATGTCCATCTGTCAGAAAGGCTTTGGTTGTGTCTTTAGTCCTGGAAGAAGGGGGTTGGACTGAATGGCCATCTGTCAGAAAAGCTTTGGTTGTGTCTATATACCTGGCAGAAGGGGGTTGGACTCAATGGCCATCTGTCAGGAAGGCTTTCGTTGTGTCTTTTGTCCTGGCAGAAGGGGATTGGACTGAATGGCCATCTGTCGGGAAGGCTTTGGTTGTGTCTTTAGTCTTGGCAGAAGGGGGTTGGACTGGATGTCCATGTGTCAGAAAAGCTTTGGTTGTGTCTATAGACCTGGCAGAAGGGAGTTGGACTCAATGGCCATCTGTCGGGAAGGCTTTGGTTGTGCCTATAGACCTGGCAGAAGGGGTTTGGACTGGATGTCCATCTGTCAGAAAGGCTTTGCTTATGTCTTTCTGTCTTACAGAAAGGGGAAGGATTGGATGGCCATCTCTCTCTGTCTCTCTGCTTTTCTCTCCAAGCCTGAGCAAAAATGTAACAGTATCCAAAAGTCCCAGGCCTAGCCTTTTTCCCAGGCATTGACCAACCAATCATCTTCGTGCATCTTATTTTACAGTTGACACATGCACACTCACTGATTTCTTGCATGCTCCAACATTGATGTCTTCTCTTCCAGGAATCGATGGGCTCCTCGTCCCTGAAACCCCAGGAAGGAAAACTCGACTTGACTACTCCTACGTAAAGCATCCCTTGATGGAGTAGGAACCTCAACAGCCCCCCCAAAAGGCTCCCTGGACCTACCAAAGAAGGCCTTTCCAACGGTTTCCCGGTGTCTTCTTGCTTTGTCTCCCCTTAACTTCCAATAAAAGAGTCTTCCTCCTTTAACCACATGTTGTTTACCCTCTTCAGAGAGATCAGTGGGTTCAACTTCTGCAGATTTGACTACGCTCCGAAACACCATTTTACCTCCTGGGTGATCAATGTCATTCCCTAATTGGTTCTATCATAAAAACATGGGAAAAAATTATTAAACTGCAAAAACTTTGTCTTTGTGGGAAGGACACCATCCTGCAGAGCATTATATTATATTATATTATATTATATTATATTATATTATATTATATTATATTATATTATATTATATTATATTATATTATATTATATTATTATTATTATTATTATTATTATTACATTATATATTTATATGATTACATTATTATTATTATTATTATTATTATTATTATTATTTGAAACACGGCAAACAAGATCACTCTGCTGGCTGTTGTATTGGGTCACACATCAGACACTTCCCAAGAGTCTAGGACTGTGATGATGATGATGATGATGATTAGAAACATAACAAGATGAGTCCACAGCAGACACTCTGCTGGCTGTTGCATTGGATCACACGTCGAACACTTCCCAAGGGTCTAGGACTGTGTGATGTATTGGCAAAAAATGCATGCAGATCCCAGTAAGGTGGCCTTCTGATTTTTTCAGCGCCGATTGTTTTTAAGTGCAGGCCAAGGTCTTTAGGCACTGCACCCAGTGTGCCGATCACCACCGGGACCACCTTGACTGGCTTGTGCTACAGTCTTTGCAGTTCAATCTTTAAATCATCATATCCTGTCAGTTTTTCCAGGTCAGGAGAATTATACTCCAAAACTACAAGAGAGGAGATTCCATCTGAACATTAGGAAGAACTTCCTGACTGTGAGAGCCGTTCAGCAGTGGAACTCTCTGCCCCGGAGTGTGGTGGAGGCTCCTTCTTTGGAGGCTTTTAAACAGAGGCTGGATGGCCATCTGTCAGGGGTGATTTGAATGCAATATTCCTGCTTCTTGGCAGAATGGGGCTGGACTGGACGGCCCATGAGGTCTCTTCCAACTCTTTGATTCTATGATTCTGTCTGTCTGAATCCGGAAGATCTAGATATTATTATTATTATTATTATTATTATTATTATTATTATTATTAGCCATCCCCTGCCACGCATTGCTGTGGCCCACATGCAAGTTCTGTGTGCCAAGTTTGGTTCAGTTCTATTGGTGGGTTCAGAATGCTCTTTGATTGTAGGTGAACTACAGATCCTAGCAACTACAACTCCCAAATGTTAAGATTATATTTCCCCCAAACTCCACCAGTGTTCACATTTGGGCATATTGAGTCTTCGTGTAGAGTTTGGTCCAGATCCACCATTGTTTGAGTGCACAGTGATCTCTGGATGTAGGTGAACTACAACTCCAAAACCAAAGGACACTGTCCACCAAACCCTTCTAGTGTTTTCTGTTGGTCATGGGAGAACTGTGTGCCAAGTTTGGTTCAATTCCATCATTGGTGGGGTTCAGAATGCTCTTTGATTGAAAGTGAACTATAAATCCCAGCAACTACAACTCCCAAATGACAAAATCATTTTTTTTAGTGAAGGACATACATTGGGTTGTTAGGCGTATTGTGTTCACACTGTCCAAATTTGGTGTCAATTCGTCCAGTGGTTTTTGAGTTCTGTGAATCCCACAAACGAACATTACATTTTTATTTATATAGATTACTATTCGTCCCCTGCCATGTGTTGCTGTGGCCCAGTCTGTGTTTATGTATTTTTTGTGTGTGTATATATGTGTGTGTGTGTTGTATATTTGTGTATATGTGTGTTTGCATGTATATTTGTGTGTGTGTGTGTGGTTTTGCGCATGCGTTGTAATGTATTTTTATTTTTTTGTTTTTAAGTCTCTTCTGCTGTGTTTTTCAATGTTTTTCTGAGTGATGGTCACTTTGGCCTGAGAGGTGTGTTGTGTCCAAATTTGGTGTCAATTCGTCATGTGGTTTTTGAGTTATGTTAATCCCACAAACGAACATTACATTTTTATTTATATAGATTATATTATTATTATATTATATTATTATTCCATTATATATTTATGTTATTATTATTATTATTATTATTATTATTATTATTATTATTATTATATAAAAGCACGATTTAAAATGAGTTTTGTTCCTGGGTTATCAAAGTTATTTCCTAATTTGTTCTATCATAAAAACACCCAAAAAAGTATATTAAACTTGAAAAACTTTGTTTTTCGAGGAGGGACATCATGCAGCACATTATATTATATTATCTTTTTATATTATATTATTTTTGTATGACATAATTATATAATTATAATATATATTACTACTACTAATTATTATTATTAATAATAATAATAATATTAATATTATTATTCTATAATAGCACAATGTACACAATTTTTGTTCCTGGGTTATCCATGGCATTCCGTTATTGGTTCTATCATAAAATATGGGGAAAGTTTATGAAACACAACTGCAGAGTCCACTGTAAACCCTGCATAACAGATTCCTAAACATGTCTAAGAAGGCACTAGGTCAGTGATTCTCAACCTGGGGGTCGGGACCCCTGGAGGGGTCGCGAAGGGGTGTCAGAGGGGTCGGCAAAGACCATCAGAAAACACAGTATTTTCTGTTGGTTATGGGGGTTCTGTTGTTGGAAATCTGGCCCAATTCTATCATTGGTGGGGTTCAGAATCCTCTTTGATTGTAAGTAAACTATAAATCCCAGCAACCAAAACTCCCAAATATCAAGCTCTATTTCTCCCAAACTCCACCAGTGTTCACATTTGGAAATATTGAGTATCTGTGCCAAGTTTGGTCCAGATCCATCATCATGATCTGCGCCGGGAGCTAGACAGGGGGAGTGTGTCCCTGTTAGTGCTCCTGGACCTCTCAGCGGCCTTCGATACCGTCGACCACGGTATTCTTCTGGGGCGCCTTGCAGAGATGGGTCTTGGGGGCACTGCTCTGCAGTGGCTCCGGTCATTTCTGGAGGGTCGTACTCAGAAGGTGTTATTGGGGGACTCCTGTTCAACGCCGCAGCCATTGACCTGTGGCGTTCCTCAGGGTTCCATCTTGTCCCCCTTGCTGTTTAACATCTACATGAAGCCGCTGGGTGAGATCATCCGGAGTTTCGGGGTGCGGTGTCACCTGTACGCAGATGACGTCCAACTCTGTCACTCCTTCCCACCTGCTACTAAGGAGGCTGTCGAAGTCCTGAACCGGTGCCTGGCCGCTGTAATGGTCTGGATGAGGGCGAACAAACTGAAATTAAATCCAGACAAGACAGAGGTACTCCTGGTCAGTCGCAAGGCCGAACAGGGTATAGGGTTAACGCCTGTGCTGGATGGGGTCGCACTCCCCTTGAAGGTCCAGGTTCGCAGCTTGGGTGTGGTCCTGGATTCATCGCTGAGCCTGGATCCCCATGTTTCAGCGGTGACCAGGGGAGCATTTGCACAGCTTAGGCTCGTGCGCCAGTTGCGCCCGTATCTTGGGAAGTCTGACTTGGCCACGGTGGTACACGCTTTGGTCACATCCCGCCTCGATTACTGCAACGCTCTCTACGTGGGGCTGCCCTTGAAGACGGCCCGGAAGCTCCAGCTAGTCCAGCGCGCGGCAGCCATGTTGTTAACGGGAGCTGGACGCAGGGAGCATACAACGCCTCTGCTGTCCCAACTCCACTGGCTGCCGATCCGCTACCGGGCCCAATTCAAGGTGCTGGTGTTATCCTACAAAGCCCTAAACGGTTCCGGCCCAAAATACCTTGCAAACCGCATCTTGGCCTACGAGCCCACGAGGGCCTTGAGATCATCCGGGGAGGCCCTTCTCTCGGTCCCGCCTGCCTCACAGGCACGCCTGGCGGGGACGAGAGAGCGGGCCTTCTCGGTGGTGGCCCCCCGGCTGTGGAACACCCTCCCTGCTGAAGTTAGACAGGCGCCTCTTTGATGGCCTTTCGTAGGGGCCTAAAAACATGGCTCTTCGAGCAGGCCTTCAACTGAGTGTATTGAATGACAATGGAATGAACTAGGACTACGAATTTGGCTATGACCCCAGGACTTGACGAAGCGGATTTTTAGTATAAGTATATGTTATGTGGTATCTGTTTGGTTTGTATTGTCATGATTCACTGTACGCTGTCGTCTGTGTGTTATGTTGTTGTTCACCGCCCCGAGTCGCCCTTGGGCTGAGAGGGGCGGTCAATAAATGCAAGAAATAAATAAATAAATAAATAATAATTGTTTGAGTCCACAGTGGTCTCTGGATGGAGGTGAACTACAACTCCAAAACTGAAGGTCAACGTCCACCAAACTCTTCTCATATTTTCTGTTGGTCATAGAGTTCTGTGTGCCAAGTTTAGTTCAATTCCATCATTGGTGGAGTTCAGAATGCTCTTTGATTGTAGGTGAACTATAAATCCCAGCAACTACAATTCCCAAATGACAAAATCAATCCCTCCCAACCCCACCAGTATTCAAACTTGGGTGTATCGGGTATTTGTGCCAAATTTAGTCCAGTGAATGAACATATATTCTGCATATCAGATATTTACATTACGATTCATAACAGTAGCAAAATTACAGTTACGAAGTAGCAACAAAAATAATTTTATAGTTGGGGGTCACCACAACATGAGGAACTGTATTAAGGGGTCGTGGCATTAGGAAGGTTGAGAAACACTGCACTAGGTGATGTTCCTTCTACTGTTGCCAATTTTTGGGACCCCAATTATCAGTTCAAGTGGGGTCAATCTCCATTCATTCTGCAGTACAGGAGATGCACCCATAGAGGGAACAATGTGTAGGGTGACATGACGCCTGGTAGCCACTAGGGGTCAGGGTTGCCTTACACAACTTTTCCAAAGTTTGGAAAAATAGAAAGTGAGTGAAATAGGGAAGTAAATAGTATTTTGAACAGCTTGCATGTGTGCCAGGATACAGAAATGGTGCAGTTTCTGACTAGAGGGTCCACCATCCAAATAGGACAGGAGGAGAGACAAAAAGTTCTGGAAAAGTTGGATCTCCACTGCCATCTAATGTATTATTATTATTATTATTATTATTATTATTATTATTATATTGTATTACATTATAATATTATCAATATTATATATACATACAATATATTATATATTATTATAATAGGAGGAGAGACAAAAAGTTTTGGAAAAGTTGGATCTCCACTGCCATCTAATGTATTATTATTATTATTATTATTATACATTACAAAAGCAATATTATATGTATAGACAATATATTATATTATACTATTATAATAGGAGGAGAGACAAAAAGTTTTGGAAAAGTTGGATCTCCACTGCCATCTAATGTATTATTATTATTATTATTATTATTATACATTATAAAAGCAATATTATATGTATATACAATATATTATATTATACTATTATAATAGGAGGAGAGACAAAAAGTTTTGGAAAAGTTGGATCTCCACTGCCCTCTAATGTATTATAATTATATTATATTACATTACATTATAATATTATCAATATTATATGTATATATAATATAATATAATATATTATTATGATAGGAGGAGGAGAGACAAAAAGTTCTGGAAAAGTTGGATCTCCATTGCAATCTAACATATTATTATTATATTGTTTACATAATAATATTATCAATATTATATGTATATGCAATATATTATATTATATTATTACAATAGGAGGAGAGAAAAAAGTTTTGGACAAGTTGGATCTCCACTGCCATCTAATGTATTATTATTATTATTAGTAGTAGTAGTAGTAGTAGTAGTAGTAGTATATTGTATTACATTACATTATATTATTATAATAGGAGAGACAAAAGGTTCTGGAAAAGTTGGATCAACACTGCCATCTAATGTATTATTGTTATTATTGTTATATTTATTTATTTATTATTCAAACGTCTATGCGGCCACTCCCCTGGGGCTCGGAGCGGCTTACAAGAATGGCTAAAATCTAACACAATTTAAAAACAATTTAAAAACAACAATATCAGAGATCAAAGGCCTGTCGAAACAGATATGTCTTCCATGCCCTGCGGAAAGCTGATAAGTCCCGCAAGGCACGGACTTTAGGTGGCAGAGTATTCCAGAGCGATGGTGCCACTGCTGTGAAGGCTCTGCGTCTGGTTGCTGTTAGGCGCAAGGTCTTGACACTGGGAATTTCCAATAGATCTTGGTCCCCAGAACGGAGGGATCTCTGGGGTTGGGAGGGGGTGAGGCGGTCCCTCAGGGACATCGGCCCCAGACCATGCAAGGCCTTCAAGGTGAGTCCCATCCCTTTGAAAGTGATCTGGTGATCAATTGGTAACCAATGCAGCTGCTGTAAGATTGGGGTGATGTGGCATCTCATCGGAATTCCCGCAAGAAGCTGAGCAGCTGCATTTCGTACCAACTTGAGCTTCCGGATTACCAACAGAGGAAGGCCAACGTAGAGGGCGTTACAGTAGTCCAGTCTTGAGATGACCGTGGCCTGGATCACCGTAGCTTGGTCGTCCCTGGAGAGGGAGGGGGCCAGCCGTCTAGCCTGCCGCAGGTGAAAGAAAGAAGGCGGTTCTGCTCACGGCGGAGAGAGACCTGGGCCTCCATCCTCAGCAGAAAGAGGGTCCAAAAGGACTCCCAGACTCTTGACCAATGATGACGGGCGTAGCGCCTCGCCATCCAGATGGATGTCCCCACTGCCCGGTTGACCCAGCCATAAGATCTCTGTCTTTGCTGGATTCACCCTCAACCTGCTGGCACGCAGCCATCCAGTCACGGCCTCGAGGCACTGAAGGAAACAATCGGGTCCAGAGTCCGGTCGGCCTTCCATCTTCAGCACCAGCTGAGTGTCATCGGCGTACTGGTCACACTCCAGCCCAAAACCTCGAACCAGCTGAGCAAGTGGTCGCATGTAGATGTTAAACAAGAGAGGGGAGAGAATGGCCCCCTGAGGAGGAACCCCACAAGAGAGAGAGGGGGGACCTCTCAGAGACCAGGCCTCCCCTCTCCACTCGCTGCCCACGGTTGTGGAGAAAGGAGGGGAGCCAATTCAAAGCTCTCCCCCTGACTCCAGCAACAGCAAGGCGGTGGGTCAAAAATATATATATATACAATGATATGATATTATATGATATGAATTATTATATAATATTATATTATATATATTATATTATATTATTATATATTATAATATTATATTATATTATATATTATTTTATTATATATTTATATATTATTATATTATTATATTATATTATTATTATTTTATATTATTTATTATATATTATATTATAATTATATTTTATTATATTATATTATATATATATTATATAATATTATATTTATTATATATTATATTATTATATATTATTATTTATTATTTATATTATTATTTATATTATATTATTATATTATATTATACTATTATATATAATTATATAATATTATTAATTATATATATTATATTATATTATATTATATTATATTATATTATATTTTTAATTATTTATTATTATATTATTATATATATTATATATTATTATATTATATTATATTATATTATATTATATTATATTACATTACATTACATTACATTACATTATATTATATGACTAGGAGGAGAGACCAAAGCTGGCCCCTGCCTGTTGTCTAAACTGGGTTCCTTCCGGGTTGCAGCCTCCAAAAGGGGGAATCCCCTCGCAGGCCCCGCCCCCGGTGTGACGTCACGGGGAGTTCCCCTGCTTGGCCCCTCCCCCGGTGTTCCTGGCTGTCCCGGGTGGGAGCCATGGCCGGGGAGCGTCGCGGGTGGAGAGGCCACATCTCCCGGGAGCTGAAGCACCGCGACCGGGAGCAGAAGGGGCGCTTCCAGACCCTCGTCCACGCCTGTGAGTCCAGCCCTTAAAGAGACAGGCACCCAAAGAGAAGGAGGAGCAGCTGGCATTGATTTACTACTCTGACTCGCCTTCCCTCCCACTCCTTCCCTCTCCTTCCCTTTCTCTCCTCCTTTGTCTCTCTCCTTCCTTGAATTAGCATGCAATAGCCTTGCAGTTTCAAAGCCTGGCTGGCTGCAGCCTGGGGGGAATCCTTTGTTGGGAGGTGATTAGCTGGCCCTAATTGTTTTTTGTCTGGAATTCCCGTTTCTTATTCCCAGTGCTGCTCTTTATTTACTGCCCTGATTTTGGAGTATTTAATACTGTATTTGCAATCTCTATGTGTTTTAATTATTCTGTAACTCACCTCCACCCACGAGGAGAGAAAGGTAAGCAATAAAATTATTATTATGGTCTAGAGGCATTCTCTCCTGACGTTTCGCCTGCATCTATGGCAAGCATCCTCAGAGGTATCCTCCACAAAACGTCATAGAATCCTAGAATCAAAGAGTTGGAAGAGACCTCCTCGGCCATCATCCAGTCCAACCCCATTCTGCCAAGAAGCAGGAATATTGCATTCATAGAATCATAGAATCAAAGAGTTGGAAGAGACCTCCTGGGCCATCCAGTCCAACCCCATTCTGCCAAGAAGCAGGAATATTGCATTCATAGAATCATAGAATCATAGAATCAAAGAGTTGGAAGAGACCTCCTGGGCCATCCAGTCCAACCCCATTCTGCCAAGAAGCAGGAATATTGCATTCAAATCACCCCTGACAGATGGCCATCCAGCCTCTGTTTAAAAGCTTCCAAAGAAGGAGCCTCCACCACACTCCGGGGCAGAGAGTTCCACTGCTGAACGGCTCTCACAGTCAGGAATTTCTTCCTAATGTTCAGATGGAATCTCCTTTCTTGTAGTTTGAAGCCATTGTTCCGCATCCTAGTATCCATGGAAGCAGTAAACAAGCTTGCTCCCTCCTCCCCCTGTGGCTTCCTCTCACATATTTATACATGGCCATCATGTCTCCTCTCAGTCTTCTCTTCTTCAGGCTAAACATGCCCAGCTCTTTAAGCCGCTCCTCATAGGGCTTGTTCTCCAGACCCTTGATCATTTTAGTCGCCTCCTCTGGACACATTCCAGCTTGTCAATATCTCTCTTGAATTGTGGTGCCCAGAATTGGACACAATATTCCAGGTGTGGTCTAACCAAGGCAGAATAGAGCATGGGGAGCATGACTTCTCTAGATCTAGACACTATGCTCCTATTGATGCAGGCCAAAATCCCATTGGCTTTTTTTGCCGCCACATCACATTCCTGGCTCATGTTTAACTTGTTGTCCACGAGGACTCCAAGATCTTTTTCACACGTACTGCTCTCGAGCCAGGCCTCATTGTCCCCCATTCTGTCTCTTTGCAGGAGAGAATGCCTCTAGACCATGGCCATATAGCCCGAAAAAACCTACAACAACCCAGTGAGTCCGGTCATGAAAGCCTTCGACAATACAAAATTATTATTACTATTATTATTATTATTATTATTATTATTATTATTTGAAACACAACAAGATGAGGCTGACAAGTGCTCATGGCCAGCCAGTTTTAAGCATGACTTTTAAAGTTGTGCCTTGGGTTTCAACTCTGGTCTGTGCATTTTAATATGTATTTTTTTGAGATACATATGTTTCCATATGTATCTTGTTATAGAAATACATTGTATTTATAATAAATAATAGAATTATAGAATCTTCACAATGTTTATGCTGCAACCCACCTCAAGAGGAGAAGGGGATAAGAAATTATTATTATTATTATTATTATTATTATTATTATTATTATTATTATTAAACACAGCAAGATGAGTCCACAGCAGACACTCTGCTGGCTGTTGTATGGGATCACACATCGGACACTTCCCAAGTGTCTAGGACTGTGTGTGTATCAGCAAATAATGCGTCAGATCCCAGTAAGGTGGCCTTTTGCAGTGGACAATGGATTGTGTTTAAGTGCAGGCCAAGGTCTTTAGGCACTGCACCCAGTGTGCCTATCACCACTGGGACCACCTTGACTGGCTTGTGCCAGAGTCTTTTTAGTTCAATCTTTAAATCCTCGTATCGTGTCAGCTTTTCCATTTGTTTCTCTTCAATCCTGCTGTCACCTGAAATTGCAACACTCTGGCATCATAGAATCATAGAATCAAAGAGTTGGAAGAGACCTCATGGCCATCCAGTCCAACCCCATTCTGCCAAGAAGCAGGAATATTGCATTCAAATCACCCCTGACAGATGGCCATCCAGCCTCTGTTTAAAAGCTTCCAAAGAAGGAGCCTCCACCACACTCCGGGTCAGAGAGTTCCACTGCTGAACGGCTCTCACAGTCAGGAAGTTCTTCCTCATGTTCAGATGGAATCTCCTCTCTTGTAGTTTGAAGCCATTGTTCCATTGCGTCCTAGTCTCCAGGGAAGCAGAAAACAAGCTTGCTCCCTCCTCCTCCCTGTGCTTCCTCTCACATATTTATACATGGCTATCATATCTCCTCTCAGCCTTCTCTTCTTCAGGCTAAACATGCCCAGCTCCTTAAGCCGCTCCTCATAGGGCTTGTTCTCCAGACCCTTGATCATTTTAGTCGCCCTCCTCTGGACACATTCCAGCTTGTCAATATCTCTCTTGAATTGTGGTGCCCAGAATTGGACACAATATTCCAGGTGTGGTCTAACCAAAGCAGAATAGAGGGGTAGCATGACTTCCTTAGATCTAGACACTAGGCTCCTCTTGATGCAGGCCAAAATCCCATTGGCTTTTTTTGCCGCCACATCACTCAGCCAACTCGAGGCGGTTTACAAGGCAAAATTCAATGCCACAAGTACAATTTAAAAACATTAACATACATAAAATCATAATAATAGCAATAAAACATACATCATTAGGAAATCCATATTAAAACATTGTCCAGTCCCATCATATGGTTGTTCTATTATCCTATATCTGCTACTCTGTATTTGCAAACGCTTGCTCGAAAAGCCATGTCATAAGTTTTTTCCCCGAAATGTTAAAAGGGAAGAAGCTGTTCAGATATCCCTGGGGAGGGTGTTCCATAGCCGAGGGGCCACCACTGAGAAGGCCCTGTCTCATGTCCCCGCCAGACGTACTTGTGACAAAGGCGGGACGGAGAGCAGGGCTTCCCTGGATGATCTTAAAGTCCTTGATGGTTCATAAGAGGAGATGCGTTCGGACAGGTAAGTTGGGCCAGAACCGTTTAGGGCTTTATAGGCCAAAGCCAGCACTTTGGATTGGGCCCGGTAGCAAACCGGCAGCCAGTGGAGCTGGCACAACAAGGGGGTTGTATGCTCCCTTAGAGCCGCTCCTGTTAGCAACCTGGCTGCCGTTCGTTGGACCAGTTGAAGCTTCCGGACAGTCTTTGAAGGCAACCCCACGTAGAGTGCGTTGCAGTAGTCTATACGGGATGTAACCAGTGGACTACCGTGGCCAAGTCAGACTTCCCAAGGTACTGTTGTGACTCAGCTGGAATGTCAGAGTGATAGTGTCAATGATTCTGATGAGGATGATGGGATTCAGATTCACAGTCAGGTGCAAAGCGATGTCCCTGTGATAGACGAGGAAGAAGTTCAGCTGGTTCTTGTGGGTTTTTTCGGACTATAGAGCCATGTTCTAGAGGCATTTCTCCTGACGTTTCGCCTGCATCTATGGCAAGCATCCTCAGAGGTAGTGAGGTCTGTTGGAATTAGGACAATGGGTTTATATATCTGTGGAATGGCTGGGGTGGGGCAAAGAGCTCTTCTCTGCTGGAGCTAGGTGGGAATGTTTCAACTGACCACCTTCATTAGCATTTGAAGGCCTGCCTGAGCCTGAGAAAATCTCTTGCTGAGAGGTGTTAAGATGTGCCTGGTTGTTTCCTCTCTGTTGTTGTGCTGTTGTAATTTTGGATTTTTTTAATACTGGTAGCCAGATTTTGTTCATTTTCATGGTCTCTTCCTTTCTGTTGAAATTGTCCACATGTTTGTGGATTTCAATGGCTTCTCTGTGTAGTCTGACATGGTGGTTGTTGGTGTGGTCCAGCATTTCTGTGTTCTCAAATAATATGCTGTGTCCAGGCTGGTTCATCAGGTGCTCTGCTATGGCTGATTTCTCTGGTTGAAGTAGTCTGCAGTGCCTTTCATGTTCCTTGATTCGTGTCTGGGCAATGCTGCGTTTGGTGGTCCCTATGTAGACTTGTCCACAGCTGCATGGTATACGGTAGACTCCTGCAGAGGTGAGAGGATCCCTCTTGTCCTTTGCTGAACGTAGCATTTGTTGGATTTTCTTGATGGGTTTGTAGATTGTTTGTATGTTGTGTTTCCTCATCAGCTTCCCTATGCGGTCAGTGGTTCCCTTGATGTATGGCAGGAACACTTTTCCTCTGGGTGGATCTTCATCTTGACTCTCGTGGCTTGTTCTTGGTCTTGCAGCTCCTCCTGATTTATTTATTTATTGTATTTATTTACTTCGCTTATATACCACAATTCTCAGCCTAATGGCGACTCATTGCGGTGTACAACATAGAAAAACAGGTGCAAAATACAACATAAAATAAAATAATCCACAGTACATCATTATCAAAACATCTCATCAAAAACATCAACATTACTACAAGCCATTCCGAGTCGTCTCATCGTCAAGTTCACAATCCGATACCATTTCCGTTGTTCCATTCCTATGGTCGAGTTACCAGTCATTGCACTTCTATTCAAATGCCTTCTTAAACAACCAGGTCTTTAGCTTCCTGCGGAATATCAACAGGGAGGGGGCTAGCCTGATGTCTACGGGAAGGGTGTTCCACAGCCGAGGAGCCACCACCGAGAAGGCCCTATCTCTCGTCCCTGCCAGCCGTGCCTGTGACGCAGGCGGGATCGAGAGCAGGGCCTCCCCGGAAGATCTCAAAGTCCTCGTGGGCTCATAGGCCGAGAGGCGGTCAGTTAGGTATCTTGGGCCGGAACCGTTTAGGGCTTTATAGGCCAGTGC